TCATTGCTTTCAACAAACTGAACAATTTTATCTACAAGTCAGCAGTAAGGTCTAGACAGGAGATTCCCTGCGGTCAAGGTACTCGATGATGGGGTAGGGTTGGTGGCCAATCAGGATGCAGCAGGAAGTCACCGCGACCAGAATCAGCCAATACCCGCACTCGTCTAGTCGTCTCGATATCACGTGACCTCATGTCCCCGCTGTAGCCAATGATAGCGTGTGGAGGTCTCAGAAGAGGAGCCATTGAGCTAGATTCTGAAATGAAAGGTTTTTCTACATACATTTATAGGCAGGCTGTTGTTTTCTGTGCAGCTGAAGTTTTGACAGAAATCACGTTTTCACGGATTACTAAAAATGAATGTACGCGTTGCAATATGTAATTTTAAGCATATATCTTGGGATGAAGTTGCAGTACATATGTAACTATAATTGTAAAAGGGAATTTTAGAAAAATGATGACTCTTTTTTGTTCTCTGATCAGTGACTTGTCAGTCTGTCCGAACACCATACCCGTGGCTCCGGCGTACTTCAGGAACCTGTTGAGTGACGGGTAGGCTGTGTTGGGTCGTGGGGCCATGGACGGTGATGGCTGCAACATTGGTAGATTAACGTAGAATGCGCTTACGTGATATATATCAACATGGAATACAAATAACGTAGAACATCGTGGAGTGTTAGTGAGTGGGGTATTGCGCTGCTTTTAGCAATATTCCAGCAATATCGCGGCGGGAGACACCAGAAATGGGCTTCACACATTGTACCCACCTGCAGAATCGAACACTAGTATTCTGTATAATAGCATAACGCCTTCACCACTACACTACCTTATCTACTATGAAACAGGGTTGAAAAATCACGTAACATATGTCAAGAGTTGTAAAACCTGTGAGCACGGGTATAGGCAGACATACATGTACAACTCTGGATCAGATTGTCTGCCAAGGGAGTACCGTTTAAACCCGTTCAGCATTAATTACAGAAGTGTCACCGTGAAATGTCACACACCTACATACACCTGCAATTATGCAACTCAGTACTGATCAATCATGGGCTGAATTTAAAGCCACTGGAACTGTTTCCATTTTTCAGCAGTGAAATTCTATCAATGTATGACATTCACAGATACTACAAGTACACACAGATATAAGTACAGTGCTACCTGTCTGAGGGCGTCTCTGTTCGCCTGCAAGACTTCCTGTTGACGGTTTCCCTGTACCGCCATCATGACGTCATCCTTGTCTGTCAACACACCGAACCAAAGTCAAATACGAAGTTGTTTTAATGTGTGATTAGTTTTGGTGTTTAATGCCGCACGGAATTGAACATGTATCAGACAAAACTGTGATTGACGTAATCAGCATGAATCTACGCAACTCGTATACGATAACATAAACCAAGTCATAAGCCTCTTACGACCTTCAGGGAATCGTGTGGAATAGCTTGACGTATATATGATATTAAATGGTGTTGACCACAATTGCAGAGTGGCTTCAATATCACCAAATACTGGATAGAGGACGAACAAGACATGATGGTCATTGGAACATCGCCGATTACTTTGTATCAGATTACTGACAGTCAGTAATCAAAGCATGAGTAATACAATAAACATCGGTTATAACGAACTCTGAGGGACCACTAATTTCAGTTCGGTATGTTATTGAAAGAGATTAGAATACTTTAATTCCGTGTATATTACAAACTGGGTTTACTTTACTGTTGCGTTCCTGATACAACCAAAACCTACAGCAAGTGGGTTGGACTAGAAAGTAGTTCGTTATATCCGTCAGTTCGGTATATGCGTGTTCGTTACAAACGTAGGTGATAGTATATAACAATTTATATCCCACCTTTATCATCCGCTATCTTGAGCCACGCCTCCGCTCCCTGGGCGGTAACGGGATCCAGGAAATTCTTCATTCCCTGTGGGATAGAGTGATGGGGTCGTAGAAATTAACAGACTTGCTCATGGAACACTCAACAGCAAAGAGTTTAAGGCGCTGGCAGAGATCACAACAGGCGAAACCACAAAATGTGAAAATGATTCAGAATAGACTATTACACACCCTGGCTGGCATGTACGTACATATTGATCCTTGTATGTGTTGATCAGTGACGTGGATGGGCGGTCGGCGACGTATTTACGCCGTGTCTGACGTCGTTGATACTGCTCTTCCGGCGGGAGACTAGCGTCGACTGCAACACACATTGTACGACTGAAACGCATTTGAATGTAAACATATCTGCAGCATCTGTTACTTAATTATAAAAACAAATTAAAAACCATTGAAACACCATGAAATACGTTTCGATAGCCATTTATCGAAGGCTGTTAGGCAACATCAATGCCTTGACACGTGGTTATTTAAGCTAATGTCGACGTTACTTTGTATTAAACATATGTTAATTTTGTAAAAGATGTACATGTATATGCCACACAGTACCGTGGAATACGTTAATGACACTACATGTAAATGACAACACGCGTTTATGATACCTACCTTAATGACACCACACATTAATGACATCATACGTTAGTGACGCCGTACGTTAATGATGCCGTAAATTAATAGCACCGCACGTTAATGACATCATACGTTATTGACGCCACACGTCAATGGCACCACATGTTAATGACATGATACGTTAGTGACGCCACACGTTAATGGCACCACATGTTAATGACATCATACATTATTGACGCCACACGTTAATGGCATCACATGTTAATGACATCATACGTTAGTGACGCCACACGTCAATGGCACCACATGTTAATGACATCATACGTTAGTGACGCCACACGTCAATGACACCGTAAGTTGATAGCACCACACGTTAATGACATCATACGTTAGTGACGCCACACGTCAATGGCACCACAAGTTAATGCACCACACGTAATGGCACCACATGTTAATGACATCATATGTTAATGACACCACAGATTATTGACGCCGTACGTTAAAGACACCGTATGTTAATAGCACCACACGTTTACTGACACCATACGGTAATGACGTGTTAATGGCAGCTTACTTCTGTAGCACTGTTTCCCCAGCGTCGTGTCCGGGTTGTGGTAGCCTTCAATGTAATGGAGTCGGTTGGTGAGGAAAACTCTGCAACAGTAAAGTAAACTCAAGTTATAATATGCATGGACATAAGATATATGACAGTATTACATCCCCACTTCAATACAACTTTCTGAATAGAGGCTTGAATAAATTGCGAAAGTCTATATAAAAAAGTACCAATACTACCACAAATCACTACATTACCTTATTCATATGAGGCGTCACCCTCCCATACTTCGATTGCCATAATTAATGTAAGTTTGAGTTTATTAGGGTGTAAAGAGTCAGCTACAGTTTTCATTTTAAATTCAACAAGGTTAACCATAGGGTATCAATACCAAAGGGATACAAATACTCTCAAACCGAAGGTAAGCCGAATAAGTAAGTATTCATGCTACTTCATGTTATTATCATTTTCTATGTAGTCAACTCATGAACTTCTAAAAATTACACCACTTCGTATACACGTATGTACTCTGGCACTAGATGTACAGTCGTACACATGCGAGATTCCGGTACAGCATGATCGGCTGTGTGGGGTTTCAAGGCTCTACCTATCACAGACGTTGTGTGTCATTCTCATTCTGATCGGGGGCAAGATATATTAGCCATAATATACCCTCTGTACTATTTGCTAATCCCTCGAGTGTTCTAACAACGGTATCACCCTACTTATCAGGCAGCCGAACAGAGTCTGTGTGTGTTAACACCAGTGATAGAAGATTAACTCAGGGGACGACTTCACGTGAATATAATACAGGTAATATCAACACGCACTGGGCGCTATCTAGAAATACACACCTCTCACGTACAGTTATAGGTTGAAACTTAATATAACTCCATTTCTTCATGGTTAAATAAACAAGCGTTGTCTTTGATTGGCATCTAGATATTGGAAGAACACGAGTTGCGACACATCTATTGATAACGACTTACCATTTCGGGGCTACTTCTGAAAGAGTTATTTATTTAGGACTGTCATTGATCAGTCCTTTTAATTCAAAATATAAATCTGAGTTCACGCATTACAGACCAATAACTCTGAAGATCGCTGTTTTAGCATGAGCATATCCTTTACTATGGAACACTCTGCCGCCGCTTAACCAGAGAATTTCAAAATTTACCTAATTCCAATAACAATTATGTTTTATAGTCTCCAAAAGCGATTGCGAACAGTTAATCTTAGTTAACTAATTACTAGTGCTATATTCATATCTTGATTGTGATTATGATCATTTAATACTTTTATTAATGCTATAATTACCTGCAGATTAAATAGAGGAATGCACCAAAGAGTTTTCGAGTGATCCTAGGCCTAATGTTAAGTGTCAGCTCAGGATCTTTGTCACCTTTACACAGCACAGACACCAAATGGTACTGTCGAGTCGAACCCATCAACAATTATTTCATGGCATATTTCTTTAGCAGTAAATGTTAGTAGACTTACGACGGTGGATGCGGCTTGTTCCTCCTTGTTGGCGATGTAGGTCTGGATCTTGTCTGTTCCTCTGGAGGCAGTTCCTGGCCTGAATGGAAGTGGTTGTAGGTTGTCGGTTCCCTATCCCTCCTCGACCACATATGACGCGCCTGTGCCCGAATTCTGTCGAAATCAAGGTCCCTGAGTTTGTAATTAGCCTCCATCTGCAGCAGAGTGTTACTGTCAAGGGGGTACCCCGTCGAATTCACGCGCCTCAGTCTTGAGACTGGGTCCCCATAGCCGGGCAGAATATGCCCCGTCGCCATTGTCAGTCAGTATCTGTCAAATGTCTCTCGTTAAACCCGTAATGTGATCCACTCCACAGACAAGATCACGGCTGGTTGGTTCAAACAATGACCAACTAACCGCTCTTCAATACGATTTGTTTACAATCGCCAGGCAACGATCGGAAGGAAGCAGGTACGCGAAAGTGTATGGTGCGTGCGCATCGAACACTGAAAGGGGAGTAATCCTGCTTCCGCATTAGATTGAGAACATTATTAATCATGTTTGTTCCGGATTATCGATGAGAAATGAGTAAGTTTGGTCGCTTACATGACGATATTTAATGTTCAACATGTTGAATTGTAGGTATTGTTTTTCGCATTTGTCATGCAGCGAGACCGAATGATAGGATAACAATTACGCATACACTTGAAAAATCGTCTGCAAGTTCGGATGACACTATTGACAGTGCAATGCACTGAGTGGAGTATCGTACTTTAAACAAGATTCATTGTCCAACATGAATTTATGAAAACAACGTACAGGTTCTGTTATAATGGTGTCTTAATGTGATCAGAGCAGGGCTACCGTGTACTGCCATTACTCTCAATCTGTTTAATATTTTAACAGAAACGATCATTCGGCGACAGTCGTGTCTATCTTATTTGCCTTGGCCCAAAGTTTAGGTTTGTTTTCCTGAGGTAAATTAGGTGTTTTCTACAGTCTTGTATAAAACAACATTTATTCACTATTTGGATTTTTGGTGCAGTGTTATGCAAGCTTTAAATGTAAGCTCGGATATAGAGAAAATGGTTTTTATTTATCAATGTGTACATACCATTTGTATACGTACCGTTGGCAAATATGATGCAGTCATGTTCCTTCGAGACACAAGAATGGGTTTCTTGTGTTGCAGTGGTTTGATGATTTTTATGGCTTATGTCTTTGGTGTGGTCTTAATGTTACTAAGCAAGATAGAAAAGAAAAACAAATGATGAATTGACTCTTTGCTAAAATATTTTCAGACGACTATATTTTAGATTTCTGATGAATTGTATGAAACATATGGTATTATCCTGATATAAACCATGTTTGTTCTGATGCAGGTTGATGACACCTGACAATGGCAGCCATTAAACACACACTGAACCGTGACCTTTTCCTTCCAAATGATGAACGGTTGATTGGGCTGATTTACGTGTTTAAAGCCCCAAAGAAAAAGAAAGGGAGTTTCCTCTGTGCTGTCTGTAAGTTGTAGATGATCAGAGATACAGATCAGTGATTGACAGATCATGGAAATGTCTGTGATCCATAATGAGAATGATGCTTTGGAGTCATTCTAAAACTTTCAGCTTGACCTAAATGTTTGTTAAATACATTGAAACTGTGAGTCAGTAATTGTACTAGTCGAGGTGTTTTCAGACTAACTTAGTCCACTGTTTTGACTGAATTTTTTCATTCAGACATTTATGTTCTTAGATTCACTAAACAACATATTTTGTAATAGATTCCACAACATAAGTGTGGACATGTTCCATTGTTTGGTTTCTGTCTAATGTGATAGAGTTTGTTCCTGCAGTGTATGTTGATTTCAGTGAACACCACAGAGAGCCCTGTGCAGGCCCGTGTGTATCAGGTGAAGAAGGCTGACAGAGGAGAGTCGTACAAGAAGAAGCTGTCATGGCTCCTCAGAGACCTCAAGGTGGTTGATGGGAAGAATGCCAACAAAGTAAGGATCTCATTTGGAAAAGCACTGCTTTCTGCTGGGAATACAATTGCTTATACATCATGAAATATGATGTTATAATTATTATAAGTATATCTCTTTCTTTGTAGTAAATGATAGCTACTATGCATTTTATGCACTAAAAAATTCTAATTAACAAGTGATAAGTTTGCCTCCAAACCACAACTTGCTGATATTCAAACATGTTAGATGGTATCTTTTGTTCAGTAGAATATTTAAACTTAAGATTAATATTCTTGTGATGTCATGTCATTTCACTCTTTTGGGAGAAATTATATGTGAACAATTATATTGTAAAGTCTTTGCCTTTAGAGTCACCACAACTTATGCATCTGAATTTGTTCATACATACACATGTTAGTATGTTTAAAACAATTGTTCTGATTCTGTGTGATAACTGATCATCCTCTAGATGACTGATATCTATTTCAGGAGACCGCTGAATTTGACCTGAACTTTGAGAAGCTGTATAAGTGGGTGGCCAGCAGCATAGATGAAAAGGAGTCATTTATTGCCTGCTTGTGGAGGGTACGTAATGACACAGTACGACAGCCGCAGTAGCAGGGAAATAAATTTAACACCTGGGTCTTGTGGGTTTTGCAGAGGTTCTTGATTTTGATGAAATCATTGCAGTTTATTTCACCAAAGTATCACAGTACCACAGCCACAGTACCACAGTATCACAGTACCACAGCCACAGTACCACAGTATCACAGTACCACAGCCACAGTATCACAGTTCCACAGTACCACAGTATCACAGTACCACAGTATCACAGTACCACAGCCACAGTAGCAGGGGAAACATTTAACAGCTGGGTCTTGTGGGTTTTGCAGAGATTCTTGATTTTGATGAAATCATTGCAATTTATTTCACCAAACAGTCAGTAAATGCATTGTAACATACACAGCTGTACATAATTGATCATCACTTCATTCAGTTTTGGTGGTGAGTTTGTTCATCCAATGAAATTTAAAAGATAAGTTATTATTCTGAAATTTGTACATCATGCAGATGGTGAGGTGACTCATTTGTGAGGAAAACAATCTGTTATAGACACCAATAATTCCAGTTATAGTATTCCTAATTGCTTCAACTCTTAAGTTGACATCTCCTGTTAGGTTTTATGCTGGGACAATTCACTGATGCACCGATACATCTAGATAATTTAAGTTTGATACAGCTATCGTATCGTCGACTGGTGTATCGATACAAAATGATACATGACTTTTTTTCAAAACAGTATTATCTTAAACATGTTAACAGTACTTATTTAGAGAAAAATATGCAAGTATGATAGAGTTACTTGTTTGTTTATTACAATAGTGCTATTGTTATACACAAATACCTTGAAATAAATCATTTTAAATCTTAATACTGTGTCATTCTTTCAAGGTGTATGTATTGTGATACATATCGTATCACAGGTAAAATATCGCGATATGTATCGTATCGTGACATAGTGCATCACTCCAGCCCTAATTTTAAAAAAGATTGATTATTCCTTGACCCTCCTGTGAATATTGGGGCGGTGGAGTAGCCTAGTGGTTAAAAAGTTCGTTTTTTGAAGGCCCAGGTTTGATTCTCCACATGGGTACACTGTATGAAGCCCGTTTCTATTGCCCCCTGCCATGATATTGCAGGAATATTGTTAAAAGCAGCGTAAAACTAAACTCACTCACTCTTATGAATATTCCTATTTCAGCTGAGTCAGCGATATCTGATACAGAAGCCAGAGTTTGTCAATGTCCCACCAGGACTGCTTGAAGGTACGCCATTAACAGGAGTAGGTTGATTCATTGTAGAACTGATGCACTGTGGTACCACGTGTGAGCATTATTCTTCTGGGCCAAGCACTGTAATGATTGCATTCATTTCTAAATGGCTAGGATATATGCTGGTACTTAAACTTATTTTTCACTCAAGCGATATAGCTTATGTTAACTTTAATTGCTAAAGTGTTGTGCAATGGAATGGGATACTGATATGGCTTTCCTAGTAGTTATTTTGATGCGATGAGAATTTTGATGTTCACTTATTGAATGAGACCTCAGTTTTACTGCCTTTACTTCTGCAGACATCACCGCCCCTCATGACCAGAACCAGAAGTCTGAGGGTGGGGACGACATCTCCATTGAGGACGAGGACTATCAGGCTCTGTCCTCCAAGGAGGAGTCCGACCTAGAGCTCCTCATGTCCGAGTGCAAGGTGGCCATCAGCAACGCAGAGACCTTCACTGACCAGCTCTCCAGACAGCTGTCCGTCCTGGATGGGGTGAGGTCAACACGTTTCTATTTAAGGGTTTAGAGGAAAATATTCAGCTCCAGATCTATAGCTGATGACAGAATTCCTAAATTTCAACATTTTTCAAATTGGGTTATTGGGTTAACAATGAATGCATCAGTTATGTTATGTGAGTGTGTTCTCTGTCATCATATCCCAACTGGGGCGGTGGGGTAGCCTAGTGGTTAAAGCGTTGGCTCGTCACGCTGAAGACTCGGGTTTGAATCCCCACATGGGTACAATGTGTGAAGCCCATTTCTGGTGTCCCCCGCCGTGATGTTGCTGGAATATTGCTAAAAGCGTCATAAAACCAAACTCAGTCAGTCATATCCCAACTGTAATCCATGCTGTTGACTGCTAGAGTGTCTGGTCCAGACTCAGTTACTAACAGACCTCCAACATATAGCTGGAGTGTTGCATGAAACAACAAACTAATCCTTATTTCCACTTGCACAACAAGTTTCAGATAAAGTGCACATATTTGTAAGTTATGAATTGGCTGTATATGAAGACATTTGAAAAATGTCATTTGACAAATATCTTGACGACATAATTATATCTACATCCGTTTCCCTCCCCTAGGCCAACATCCACTCCATCATGGGGTCGGAGGACCAAGTGCTCAATCTGATGAGGCTGCTTGACGAGGGAATCCAACAGGCCGAGCGGATAGAGCGCAAGCTGGACTCGTATGACAACATACTGCTGGTAGGCTCTGTACCATACAAGATACTGTAGGCAGGAACATTTCAAACATGTGGGAGGCTGTTTAACGAATGAATTTTAAATTCCAAAGTTTTCCGTATAATAAGTCTTCGTGCACCATACTCATGGACTCACCAAAGTAAACATCTAGTAGTTCTACGTACCTACATAACACGATGGTATCTTCCCACTGGAAGGGGGCGGTGGGGTAGCCTAGTGGTTAAAGCGTTGGCTCGTCACGCCGAAGGCCCGGGTTCGATTCCCCACATGGGTACAATTTGTGACGCCCATTTCTGGTGTCCCCCGCCGTGATGTTGCTGGAATATTGCTAAAACGGCGTAAAACCAAACTCAGTCAGTCCCACTGGAAGCTGGTGTGTCATGTATAACTAAATGAAAAAGCACCTCTCCCACTCATCTATGTCAGTCAGACACAGAGACAAAAGTCAAGGAATTATTTGATGTGCAGCTAATATTAACTGTTCTCACCGTATTTGTTGCATTGGTAGGTGTAGAAATACCAGCATGCTAATGAACTATAGATGCAGTTCTCATTTTATGCTTGCTGATATGGCTCGTCACGCCGAAGACCCGGGTTTCGAATCCCCACATGGGTACAATGTGTGAAGCCCATTTCTGGTGTCCCCTGCCGTGATGTTGCTGGAATATTGCTAAAAGCGGCGTAAAACCAAACTCAGTCAGTCAGTGCTTGCTGATAATGTAACCATGTTGCAGAAAGCAAATATCACGTGATAATGATTTCCTGGAACAGACTGATGGTGATGATCTCCTATTCATCTCCATGATTGTATAATAAATTATGCAAGAGAACAGATTGTTTATGGACATATATTATGGCTTCATTACTTGTACAGCATTTATTCAGAAGTGCCAGTTGTAAGAAATTCTTCTCAAATTTATCTATACATAAATAAATACCCTTCCTGAAGAACCAGCTGGGATTGGTTGATGTTGCAGAATGTGAAGGAGCAGATGGAGGTGATGCGGGACAAGGACATGCTGGTGAAGATCAGGAACATCAACCATCAGCAGCTGCTGGAGGAACTGGAGAAAGTGGTGGTGTGTATAGCTTGTATAGCCTGTCTGGAGGGTATAGTGGTGTGTATAGCTTGTATAGCCTGTCTGGAGAGTATAGTGGTGTGTATAGCTTGTATAGCCTGTCTGGAGGGTATAGTGGTGTGTATAGCTTGTATAGCCTGTCTGGAGGGTATAGTGGTGTGTATAGCTTGTATAGCCTGTCTGGAGGGTATAGTGGTGTGTATAGCTTGTATAGCCTGTCTGGAGGGTATAGTGGTGTGTATAGCTTGTATAGCCTGTCTGGGGGGTATAGTGGTGTGTATGTGTATAGCCTGTCTGGAGGGTATAGTGGTGTGTATAGCTTGTATAGCCTGTCTGGAGGGTATAGTGGTGTGTATAGCTTGTATAGCCTGTCTGGAGGGTATAGTGGTGTGTGTTAGCTTGTATAGCCTGTCTGGAGGGTATAGTGGTGTGCATAGCTTGTATAGCCTCTCTGGAGAATATAGTGGTGTGTATAGCTTGTATAGCCTGTCTGGAGGGTATAGTGGTGTGTATAGCTTGTATAGCCTGTCTGGAGGGTATATGTGGTGTGTATAGCTTGTATAGCCTGTCTGGAGAGTATGGTAGTGTGTATAGCTTGTATAGCCTGTCTGGAGAGTATGGTAGTGTGTATAGCTTGTATAGCCTGTCTGGAGAGAATATGGTGGTGTGTATAGCTTGTATAGCCTGTCTGGAGAGTATGGTAGTGTGTATAACTTATATATAGCCTGTCTGGAGGGGTATAATGGTGTGTAGCTTGTATAGCCTGTCTGGAGAATGGTGGTGTGTAGAGCTTGTATAGCCTGTCTGGAGAGTATGGTGGTGTGTATAGCTTGTATATCCTGTCTGTATGGCAGTGTGTATAGCTTGTATAGCCTGTCAATGAGGAGAATATGGTGGTGTGTATAGCTTGTATAGCCTGTCTGGAGAATATGGTAGTGTGTATAGCTTGTATAGCCTGTCTGGAGAGTATGGTGGGGTGTATAGCTTGTATGTGTAGAATATGGTAGTGTGTATAGCTTGTATAGCCTGTCTGGAGAATATGGTAGTGTGTATAGCTTGTATAGCCTGTCTGGAGAATATGGTAGTGTGTATAGCTTGTATAGCCTGTCTGGAGAATATGGTAGTGTGTATAGCTTGTATAGCCTGTCTGGAGAGTATGGTGGTGTGTATAGCTTGTATAGCCTGTCTGGAGAATATGGTAGTGTGTATAGCTTGTATAGCCTGTCTGGAGAGTATAGTTAAGGTAGTCTATGTCTCTGGTTATTTACAGACTGCCATGGTACACATGAACACTGCTGAGTTAGGTAGTCGACAGTAGTACTCTCTGATAGACATTTATGCTGGTGAGGTGGTAGTGTTCATAGAAACATATGAAACACATGTCTGTTACAGAATCAGCTTGACCTTGACGTGAAGCATGTGGACGCCTTAGTGAATGGTGACCTGGCGACACCCACTGGGATCTACGAGTGTACACGGGCAGCACAGGCGTTACTCAAGTGCATGAATGCAGACATACACCAAGGTATGTTTCATGTTGTCAGCCCTGAGTTATGAAGACACCATCTAAAGAGTTGATTTACCAGTGGCGCTTGTTTAAAGCTTGAGCTGTTAATTACAGTATTGTGGTTCAAGATCTCAGCCTGTGTACAAATTGCAACAATCTGTCCACATTTTGTTTGATATTATGTACAGGGGAAATTGATCTATTACAACAAGCTTCAGGTACTGAGAATTCCGAATTCTACACAATACTCAAACACTTTTAAGAGAGGCGTGAACCATAACTCAGTTTCTCAATTGCTTGGTTGTAACTTGTTTTAAGTCATAAGCAGACAGACAAATCAGGTTGCATTTGTCACCAAACGTGTCCTGCCAACCCAGAGTGTGTTATAATGCCTGGTTTTGTCCCTGCCAGCCTTGAAGAGGATGGGTGCAGTGGAGGAACAACAGAAAAGGTTCAGCAAGCTGTCTGTGAGTTTCTCCAAGAGGGTGGCACACCACCTCAACAATCTCTTCATACACCAGGTCAGTCTGCATTATAGTGTACTGTCAAATTTACTTGTAAAATATTGCCATGCAGTTTGGATTTCCATGGATAGGCATTTAAGAAAATGTCAGCTTGATTCAGCTCTGTTTGTATTTAAATATGTCCACTGTGATTTTTCATAGTAAATACTCATGGTCCATGTGACATGTCTAACCCCAGGGTAACGAATTGGGAGAGACACTGAGTCGTTTCTCGGGGGAGCTGAAGATGCCAATCCACGACACGATGCAGAGGGAGTTGGTTGTCTACGCAGACCTGATGCTGTGGTTGAAGAACACTGACATCGCAGTGTTTGAAGAACTGGCCAAGGTAGGTCCACTTGTTTCAGGTGTGGGGAGAGGGCATGAAGAGATCAGGACCCCGATCCTCAAAGCGATCATAGCACTACAACTGTCGTAAGTCAATGTTAAAAAGAGGGAGTTACGATCACCTTAGCGCTACGATCGCTTTGAGGAACAGGGCCCCAGATTAATAAAACCAGACTGTTTTCTAAACAATTTCAGAAAGCAATTTTCTTTCAGTGATTCCATGTAACAGCTTTGTCTTATGACACTCAATGATTGTTCAATGTATGTATGGACATATTCACATGGATTTTAATGAATGCTGTGAGCATACTCATTCGAATAACTATGACTAGAAGAGAAAACAGTTTGCTTCTTGATTCAGAGGTACAGATAAGCTGTGTATCTACGTAAATTGCGCAAATATTTATGCGATAACTATTTATGCGGGTACAATTTATTTGGTTACTCAAAGGAAAATTAGGATACCCAATTAAGATAGACACAAGTGAGTACATAACTCATATTGACCAGGTGTACATGTGTTGTATAACTACTTATAACCCATATTGACCAGGTGACACATGTGTTGTATAACTACCTATAACCCATATTGACCAGGTGACACATGTGTTGTATAACTACCTATAACCCATATTGACCAGGTGTACATGTGTTGTATAACTACCTATAACCCATATTGACCAGGTGATACATGTGTTGTATAACTACTTATAACCCATATTGACCAGGTGACACATGTGTTGTATAACTACCTATAACCCATATTGACCAGGTGACACGTGTTGTATAACTACCTATAACCCATATTGACCAGGTGTACATGTGTTGTATAACTACCTATAACCCATATTGACCAGGTGATACATGTGTTGTATAACTACCTATAACCCATGTTGACCAGGTGTACATGTGTTGTATAACTACCTATAACCCATGTTGACCAGGTGATACATATGTTGTATAACTACCTATAACCCATGTTGACCAGGTGTACATGTGTTGTATAACTACCTATAACCCATATTGACCAGGTGTACATATGTTGTATAACTACCTATAACTCATATTGACCAGGTGATACATATGTTGTATAACTACCTATAACCCATATTGACCAGGTGTACATATGTTGTATAACTACCTATAACCCATATTGACCAGGTGTACATGTGTTGTATAACTACCTATAACCCATATTGACCAGGTGTACATGTGTTGTATAACTACCTATAACTCATATTGACCAGGTGATACATATGTTGTATAATTACCGATAACCCATATTGACCAGGTGTACATGTGTTGTATAACTACCTATAACCCATGTTGACCAGGTGTACATGTGTTGTATAACTACCTATAACTCATATTGACCAGGTCATACATATGTTGTATAATTACCGATCACCCATATTGACCAAGTGTACATGTGTTGTATAACTACCTATAACCCATATTGACCAGGTGTACATGTGCTGTATAACTACCTATAACCCATATTGACCAGGTGTACATGTGTTGTATAACTACCTATAACCCATATTGACCAGGTGATACATGTGTTGTATAACTACCTATAACCCATGTTGACCAGGTGATACATATGTTGTATAACTACCTATAACCCATATTGACCAGGTGCACATGTGTTGTATAACTACCTATAACCCATATTGACCAGGTGATACATATGTTGTATAACTACTTATAACCCATATTGACCAGGTGTACATATGTTGTATAACTACCTATAACTCATATTGACCAGGTGATACATATGTTGTATAATTACCGATAACCCATATTGACCAGGTGTACATGTGTTGTATAACTACCTATAACCCATATTGACCAGGTGTACATGTGCTGTATAACTACCTATAGCCCATATTGACCAGGTGTACATGTGTTGTATAACTACCTATAACCCATATTGACCAGGTGATACATGTGTTGTATAACTACCTATAACCCATATTGACCAGGTGTACATGTGTTGTATAACTACCTATAACCCATATTGACCAGGTGTACATGTGTTGTATAACTACCTATAACCCATATTGACCAGGTGTACATGTGTTGTATAACTACCTATAACCCATATTGACAAGGTGTACATGTGTTGTATAACTACCTATAACCCATGTTGACCAGGTGATACATATGTTGTATAACTACCTATAACCCATGTTGACCAGGTGTACATGTGTTGTATAACTACCTATAACCCATATTGACCAGGTGTACATGTGTTGTATAACTACCTATAACTCATATTGACCAGGTGTACATGTGTTGTATAACTAGCTATAACCCATATTGACCAGGTGTACATGTGTTGTATAACTACCTATAACCCATATTGACCAGGTGTACATGTGTTGTATAACTACCTATAACCCATATTGACCAGGTGTACACAGTCAACATGCAGAAGATGTACACACGGGAATTACAAGACTTCTTGGAGAACGCCAAGCAGAGACTTATGGGAAAATCGGAAAAGGGAAATAAATATGGTTAGTAGTTTATGTTGCATACTATTGTAGGTGTCCACTGCTAAAGACCAGATAGTATCAAGTTTGCAGCTAGGGCTAGACTGGGTATTTGATCATAACACACAACGCTGGTCTTCTGGTAATTTGAGATGTAATGTGAGATAAGAGATAATAGCAAGGTCTCATGGTGTACACAAAAATATCAGGTGAAGTTAAGGAATGTTGAGTGCAGAGGGTCCTGGGATGGGTGACCGTGTTTGGCAGCTTGACTCCTGAGAGTTTCTAGGACTTCAGTCCTGCCCCACAACCAAGCACATGTGATACATGTGTTCTCCCTTTAGGCAAGTGAGTTTGTTCAAAATTGTATCTGTTCACCCAGCATAAATTGGGTAACCGGTGGGATAAAGTCATGTGACTATAACCCTCTAACGGGGTAATAATAATCAAATTGTTTGGGCACTTCGAGCAAGCATTACAGTCAATGGACTACAGTCAGGCCTCGTTAATACGAACACTTCGGTTTCTGTAAAAAAACGTTCGGATAGTGAAACGTTCGTACTGCTGAAACCACAGTATATGCACCGAGTTACTTCCCCTTGATATCAAAGAAATCAAAACAAAACATCAAAGACAATCACTGGATTTATTACACATTGTTTCACTCACACATTTTACTTACGAAAGTAGTCTTTAATGGTGGGCTGCGTCAAAGGTTTTTTTAACGAATTGAGCATGTCCATTGCTTTATCTGCATTTTCGATGTCACCCTGGCACTCGTAGTACGTAATGATGTTGCCGAGGTACAGTCTCATGTCTGTTAAAGACGGAATGGTGACATTGTCTTCTGCTTCCTCTTCTTCACTTTCCAACTGATCATCTGTAGCTGTCACCATCTCTATGATGTTTTCTGAAGTCAGTGAATCACACGTTTCTTCGTTGGCATCGGCATCGATGAAATCATCAGGCGACATGTTTTCATCATCAGACGGGAGGCGTTGAAGTAGCCTTTTCAAGTCGGCAAGCACGATATCATCTTCGAGATCACCAGTTTCATCAATCTGGGATTCTTGACTTGGCAGAATTTCGACATGCTTGAAACAGTTCTTGATCGTCTGACAAGAAACATCTGCCCATGCACTGAGGTTTGTCGTCTTCTGCACATGCGATGAAATGTCTCACTAACGATCGCTTGTAATAAGCTTTAAATGTCCGAATAATACCAGCATCAAGTGGCTGAATCCTGGATGTTGTGTTGGGAGGAAGAAAATGAACTTTGACATTTGTCAATTTCACATGTTTGCAATTGTGGCTGGCTGCATTGTCCATGAGAAGTATCACGCTACGGCCACGTGACCTACACTGTCTGTCAAAAGTTCTCAGCCAATCACTGAACATTTCAGAGGTCATCCACGCCTTCTTGTTAAAACGGTACCGAGCATAGATTTCTGGATTGAAATCTTTACCAAAGCAGCGTGGTCGTCGATATTTCCCTATCATGAAGGGTTTCACTTTGATGGTACCTGTTGCATTGCAGCATAATGCAACTGTCACTCTTTCTTTCGACTTCTTTACACCAGGTGTTTTCTTAGAGGCAAGTGTGTGATTGGGTCCGAGCTTATAAAACAAGCCGGTCTCGTCAGGATTGAAGATGTCGTCTTCGTCGTAGTTTTTCAAGACAGATTTCAATTCTTCTCTACCTTTAATTACTGCATTCTTATCAGCACTGGCAGCTTCTCAGTTAACATTTGGTCATTCACTGAAGCATTTTTTGTGTTCATTTCTGTCATCCAAACATAAAGTGCTTCCTCTAATTTGGCATGTTTAGCATTTCGTTCTCTTGTGAGAGATAGAGAATCTTCCGAAATATTTAGCCACTTGTCCTTACTTTTCCAAATGTCCGAAACAGTAGTTTTGCCGACAGAATGACCGAATTCTTCGCCAAAATGTTTACTTAAGAAATCGAAACTGGCCTTAGGATTTCTTTCTTTGTATAGGCAAATTTCCCTCTTTTGAGACGCAGTAATTTCGAGTTTTACGCATTTAGCAGGTTGGCAAGCCATAGTGAAAATGCATTGATTTGTGAAATGTTTACCCGTACATATTTATAGCGGAAGATTTTAACAACACACATTGACACTTCTCACTCAATATATTTGGAGTAAAAGTTGTTAAAGTGTTAACTGGACTGGTTAAGCTTTGTGATAAAGGGATCAAGGGATCAAAGGGATGAATCGCTAAGTCGCTAAACAAACCACGTGTCACTTGGGGCGGGCCAGTCGGCAGCGCGGTCAACTTCAATCGTTCGGATTAACGCAGCTGTTTACAACTTAATTAGTCCAATCCGTTCCGACTGACCAGCGTTCGGAGGCGGAAGCTGAATCATCGGACTAACGAGGTGTCAATTGTATACAATATATAGGGAGATGGTTTGGTGCCCAGTGAGTATCGTTCGGAAGTCGGGGGATTCGGATTAACGAGGACCGGATTACCGCGGCCTGACTGTATATTTATTTAAATATGTTGCTAGAAAATCTATACTAATGCAGATCTTTCTACAATATTCTCAGGATCAGTACGATGCCTACCACAAATTCTTAATATAGGTACCACTGCATCTGACTGACTCAACAGGGACAATGTATAACAGGTGATACATTGTTGCACAACACTGCCTCATAACACTTTACGTGTTTCTCACCTCTGAATTCTGCTTAAACTGGTGGAGACATCAGTAGACATGTATCCTTCGACTGGAACCATGTCCAGCTCCCACCTTGAACCAAGGTAATGTTGTATGTTCAACTGTGAGCCCCCTCTGCTCTACAGCCACACTTAACATGGGCTCCAAGCTGTCCGGGTCATCCACCAGTCTGGGGAAGATCTCAGAACTCCGGGGCAGATCGTCCTCTATGCAGAGTGTGGACAGAGCATCGCTCGGATCGGATCAGGATCTAGCTCAACGTGGACCCTTTGAACAAGTGAGACTCTGGTGTAGAATAGTGGGAATAGGGATGTGGGATCCCATGGGTCCAACGTAGGGGTCCAACGTGGACCCTTGAATAAGTGAGACTGGTGAAGAATAGTGGGAATAGGGATGTGGGATCCCATGGGTCCAACGTAGGGGTCCAACGTGGACCCTTTGAACAAGTGAGACACTGGTGTAGAATAGTGGGAATAGGGATGTGTGATCCCATGGGTCCAACGTAGGGGTCCAACGTGGACCCTTGAATAAGTGAGACTGGTGTAGAATAGTGGGAATAGGGATGTGGGATCCCATGGGTCCAACGTAGGGGTCCAACGTGGACCCTTGAATAAGTGAGACTGGTGTAGAATAGTGGGAATAGGGATGTCCAAGCGTGAGGGGATGGACCCTTGAATGTGAGATAGAAATAAGGATCCTGTTAAGGAGTTGGAACAGAACTGTGTATCATAGCTGTTCTATTACATTATCTGAGCTGTTCTATTACAGTATCAGAATTGTTCTATTACATTATCTGAGCTGTTCTATTACAGTATCAGAATTGTTCTATTACATTATCAGAATTGTTCTATTACATTATCTGAGCTGTTCTATTACATTATCTGAGCTGTTCTATTACATTATCTGAGCTGTTCTATTACATTAGCTGAGCTGTTCTATTACATTATCTGAGCTCAGACTGAGCTGTTCTATTACATTATCTGAGCTGTTCTATTACATTATCTGAGCTGTTCTATTACATTATCTGAGCTGTTCTATTACATTATCTGAGCTGTCCTATTACATTAGCTGAGCTGTTCTATTACATTACCTGAGCTGTTCTATTACATTATCAGAATTGTTCTATTACATTAGCTGAGCTGTTCTATTACAGTATGTGTTCTATTATCAGAACATTATTAGCTGAGCCGCTTCTATTACATTATCAGAGCTGTTCTATTACATTATCTGAGCTGTTCTATTACAGTATCAGAATTGTTCTATTACATTATCTGAGCTGTTCTATTACAGTATCAGAATTGTTCTATTACATTATCAGAATTGTTCTATTACATTAGCTGAGCTGTTCTATTACATTATCAGAGCTGTTCGATTACATTATCTGAGCTGTTCTATTACAGTATCAGAATTGTTCTATTACATTATCTGAGCTGTTCTATTACAGTATCAGAATTGTTCTATTACATTATCAGAATTGTTCTATTACATTATCTGAGCTGTTCTATTACATTTTCATTATTACATTATCTGAGCTGTTCTATTACATTGTTCCCATTATCAGAATTGTTCTATTACATTATCTGAGCTGTTCTATTACAGTATCAGAATTGTTCTATTCTATTACTATTATCTGAGCTGTTCTATTACAGCTGTATCTGAGCTGTTCTATTAATTGAATTGTTCTATTACATTATCAGAATTGTTCTATTACATTATCTGAGCTGTTCTATTACATTATCTGAGCTGTTCTATTACATTATCTGAGTTCTATTACATTATCTGAGCTGTTCTATCAGAATTGTTCTACATATACATTACATTATCTGAGCTGTTCTATTACATTATCTGAGCTGTTCTATTACATTATCAGAATTGTTCTATTACATTATCTGAATTGTTCTATTACATTATCTGAGCTGTTCTATTACATTATCTGAGCTGTTCTATTACATTATCAGAATTGTTCTATTACAGTATCAGAATTGTTCTATTACATTATCTGAGCTGTTCTATTACATTATCAGAATTGTTCTATTACATTATCTGAATTGTTCTATTACATTATCTGAGCTGTTCTATTACATTATCTGAGCTGTTCTATTACATTATCTGAGCTGTTCTATTACAGTATCAGAACGGAACTACTACATTATGAGAACTGAACTATCACAGTATCAGAAAGGTACTATTGCATCATGCTCACAGATAATGGAATATGTCTTTAAGTGGATAACCTAAGACATACATCTCTCACTAAGTGGTGTTGTTGTAGACCCTGGAGAAAGTGCTGAGTGAGTTGGAGCGTGTGTGTGTAGCGGAGCAGGACTTCTGCTTCAAGTTCTTCCAGCTGGTGGAGAAGACTCCATCAGTGTCAGATGCAAAGGTAAGGCTGTTACTTGATACCTTGATGCACATAGGACTGTCATAGGGCATGTATTGTTATCACAGGTGCTGTCAGATGTGTGTCAGTGTGTGTGATATAACACACCTGAAACCTAGGGTAACACACATGTGATGTAATGTACCTATGACCTACCACTACTGTAATTTTGTTTAACACACCTCACAACCTGTGTAACACCTGATATTCCTTTTGCCACACTTTAGATTCTGTGTAACACACATGAGATTCTGTAACACCCCTGTGATCTAAGTCACAAACCTGTGATCTAAGTCACACAACTGTGATCTAAGTCACACAACTGTGATCTAAGTCACACACCTGTGATCTAAGTCACACACCAGTGATCTAAGTCACACACCAGTGATCTAAGTCGCACAACTGTGATCTAAGTCGCACACCTGTGATCTAAGTCACACCCCTGTGATCTAAGTCACACACCTGTGATCTAAGTCACACCTGTGATCTAAGTCACACACCTGTGATCTAAGTCACACACCTGTGATCTAAATCACACACCAGTGATCTAAGTCGCACACCAGTGATCTAAGCACACCTGTGATCTAAGTCACACCCCTGTGATCTAAGTCACACCCCTGTGATCTAAGTCACACACCTGTGATCTAAGTCACACACCTGTGATCTAAGTCACACACCTGTGATCTAAGTCACACACCTGTGATCTAAGTCGCACACCAGTGATCTAAGTCGCACACCAGTGATCTAAGTCGCACAACTGTGATCTAAGTCGCACACCTGTGATCTAAGTCACACCCCTGTGATCTAAGTCACACACCTGTGATCTAAGTCACACCCCTAAGTCACACACCTGTGATCTAAGTCACACACCAGTGATCTAAGTCACACACCTTAGATTCTATGTAACACACATGGGATTCTGACTACCAGACCTGTGATGTAAGTCACATACCCGAGATTCCATGTGACACACCTTAAATTCTGTTAAATACATGAAATTCTGTAACACACCTGAGATCTAACTTACACACCTGATATTCCGAGTACTAGAGTTACCTGCTTGTGTTCCAGGGATCCCCAGGTCAGCACAATGTAAGTGCTGATGATGACAGTGAGGTGTGGACTCTCAGAAACCCAACTAATGTGGCAGAGTAAGTATGAAGAAGCGGCTGCTGCTTTCTTTAACTGACAGTGTTCTTCTTTCTTCAGACTGATGGATGCCTGCATGTTTACAGCATGGGAATGCCGGGAATGGTTGGCTATGTATAGGTCGAGATAACAGTCATAGTATATGTAGTGGATGACATGGAGGTGCTGTGTGGGGTGGGGTGACATGGAGGTACTGTGTGGGGTGGGGTGACATGGAGGTACTGTGTGGGGTGACATGGAGGTACTGTGTGGGGTGGGGTGACATGGAGGTGCTGTGTGGGGTGGGGTGACATGGAGGTGCTGTGTGGGGTGGGGTGACATGGAGGTACTGTGTGGGGTGGGGTGTGGGGCTGTGTGGGGTGGGGTGACATGGAGGTACTGTGTGGGGTGGGGTGACATGGAGGTGCTGTGTGTGTGGGGTGGGGTGACATGGGAGGTACTGTGTGGGGTGACATGGAGGTGCTGTGTGGGATGGGGTGACATGGAGGTACTGTGTTGGGTGGGGTGACATGGAGGTGCTGTGTGGGGTGACATGGAGGTGCTGTGTGGGGTGACATGGACGTGCTGTGTGGGGTGACATGGAGGTGCTGTGTGGGGTGACATGGAGGTGCTGTGTGGGATGGGGTGACATGGAGGTACTGTGTTGGGTGGGGTGACATGGAGGTGCTGTGTGGGGTGGGGTGACATGGAGGTACTGTGTTGGGTGGGGTGACATGGAGGTACTGTGTGGGGTGGGGTGACATGGAGGTACTGTGTGGGGGGTGACATGGAGGTGCTGTGTGGGATGGGGTGACATGGAGGTACTGTGTTGGGTGGGGTGACATGGAGGTGCTGTGTGGGGGTGGGGTGACATGGAGGTACTGTGTGGGGTGGGGTGACATTGAGGTACTGTGTGGGGTGGGATGACATGAGAGGTACTGTGTGGGGTGGGGTGACATTGAGGTACTGTGTGGGGGTGGGAGTGACTTGGAGGTACTGTGTGGGGTGACATGGAGGTACTGTGTGGGGTGGGGTGGGGTGACATGGAGGTACTGTGTGGGGGTGGGGTGACATGGAGAAGGTACTGTGTGGGGTGGGGGTAACATTGAGGTTCTGTGTGGGGTGACATGGAGGTACTGTGTAGGGTGGGGTGACTTGGAGGTACTGTGTGGGGGTGGGGTGACATTGAGGTACTGTGTGGGGTGGGAGTAACTTGGAGGTACTGTGTGGGGTGACATGGAGGTAATGTTGGGTGGGGTGACATGGAGAGTACTGTGTGGGGTGACATGGAGGTACTGTGTGGGGTGGGGTGACATGGAGGTACTGTGTGGGGTGGGGTGACTTGGAGGTACTGTGTGGGGTGTGGGGTGACATGGAGGTACTGTGTGGGGTGACATGGAGAGTACTGTGTTGGGTGGGGTGACATGGAGGTACTGTGTGGGGTGACATGGAGGTACTGTGTAGGGTGGGGTGACTTGGAGGTACTGTGTGGGGTGGGGTGACATTGAGGTACTGTGTGGGGTGGGGTGACATTGAGGTACTGTGTGTGGGGTGGGGTGACTTGGAGGTACTGTGTGGGGAGTAACATGGAGGTACTGTGTTGGGTGGGGTGACATGGAGTACTGTGTGGGGGTGACATGGAGGTGCTGTGTGTGGGCTGTGACATGGGTACTGTGTGGGTGTGGGGTGACATGGAGGTACTGTGTGTGGGGTGGGGTGACTTGGATAAGTACTGTGGGGTAGGGGTGACATGGAAGTACTGTGTGGGGTGACATGGAGGTACTGTGTGTGGGGTAGAGGTGACATGGAGGTACTGTGTGGGAGGTACTGTATGTTTGACATGGAGAGTACTGTGTGGGGTGGGGTGACATGGAGGGTACTGTGTTGGGTGACTTGGAAGGTACTGTGTGGGGTGGGAGTGACATGGAGGTACTGTGTGGGGGTGAAGGTGACATGGAAAGTACTGTGTGGGGTAGAGGTGACATGGAGGTACTGTGTGGGGTGGGGTGACATGGAGGTGCTGTGTGGGGGTGGGGTGACATGGAGTACTGTGTGTGGGGAGTGTGGGGTGGGGTGACATGGAGATACTGTTAAGGGGTGATATGGAGGTACTGTGTGGGGTGGGGTGACATGGAGGTACTGTGTGGGGTGACATGGAGAGTACTGTGTGGGGAGGGTGACATGGAGGTACTGTGTGTGGGGTGACATGGAGGTACTGTGTGGGGTAGGGTGACATGGAGGTACTGTGTGGGGTGGGGTGACTTGGAGGTACTGTGTGGGGTGGGGTGACATGGAGGTACTGTGTGGGGTGACATGGAGGTACTGTGTTAGGTGAGGGTGACATGGAGGTACTGTGTGGGGTGACATGGAGTACTGTAATGGGGTGGGGGTGACATGGAGGTACTGTGTGGGGTGACTTGGAAGTACTACAAGTGTGGGGTAGGAGTGACATGGAGAGTACTGTGTGGGGTGGGGTGACATGGAAGTACTGTGTGGGGTGGGGGGTGACATGGAAGGTACTGTGTGTGGGGTGGGGGTGACATGGTAGACACTGTGTGGAGTGGGGTGGGGTGACATGTGGAGTGTGGAGTGGGGTGACATGAAGGTACTGTGTGGGGTGGGGTGACATGGAGGTACTGTGTGGGGTGACATGGAGGTACTGTGTGGGAGTATGGGTGGGGTGACATGGAGGTACTGTGTGTGGGGGTGACTTGGAGGTACTGTGTGGGGGTGGGGTGACATGGAGGTACTGTGTGGGGTGGGGTGACATGGAGGTACTGTGTGGGGTGGGGTGACATGGAGGTACTGTGTGGGGGAGTGGGGTGACATGGAGATACTGTGACATGGAGGTGGGGGTGACATGGAGGTACTGTGTGGGGTGACATGGAGGGTACTGTGTGGGGTGAGGGTGACATGGAGGTACTGTGTGGGGTGGGGTGACATGGAGGTACTGTGTGGGGGTGGGGTGACATGGAGGTACTGTGTGGGGTGGATACTGTGTGGGGTGGGGTGACATATGGAGGTACTGTGTAAGGGTGACATGTGTGGGGTGGGGTGACATGGAGGTACTGTGTGGGGTGGGGTGACATGGAGAGGTACTGTGTGGGGGGGGGTGACATGGAGGTACTGTGTGTAGGGTGACATGGAGATTACTGTGTGGGAGTGAGGTGACATGGAGGTACTGTGTGGGGTGGGGTGACATGGAGGTACTGTTGTGGGGTGGGGTGACATGGAGGTACTGTGTGGGGTGGGGTGACATTGAGGTACTGTGTGTGGGGTGGGGTGACATGGAGAGATACACTGTGTGTGGAGTGTGATGGGAATGAGTGACATGGAGGTACTGTGTGGGGTGGGGTGACATGTAGGTACTGTGTGTGGGATGGGGGTACTATGTGGGGTGACATGAAAGGTACTGTGTGTGGTGTGGGGTGGGGTGACATGGGGGTACTGTGTAGGGTGGGGTTGGGTGACATGAAGGTACTGTGTTGGGTGGGGTGGGGTGACATGGTTGTACTGTGTGGAGTGGGTGGGGTGACATGAAGGTACTGTGTGGGGTGGGGTGACATGGAGGTTCTGTGTTGGGTAGGGTGACATGGAGGTACTGTGTGGGGTGGAGGAATGTTTGGCATGGCATGACGATGAGGGTTTTGGACAATTTGTTGCATGTAAGGATGGACATGCTATGAAGTGGTGGAGGTGCATTCATTCAACACACCATATGTACTTTCTGTGTTCAATCATTTAAATATTTGCATAAATCTGGCATAAAACTGTTTTTGTCAGTTTTACTAAACACATTTTCTACTTATAATTTATTTGATTGTGTGCATATGGTGTGTGTGCTGAGGGAATTTGCACAGGGATGAAATAACTCAAGGGTCACAACAATCTGATCAAGTTGTTCAAGAATTATGTTTTCAGTCGGATGTAATTTTAAACATTGCTAAAGTTATTTTCTGCTGAAGTAGGTAAAACATAAAACAGTAGACATGATGAAGTGTTTGAGGAATCAACAACACATATTCACTACAGCGTAATGTCTCGATAAGATCTCAGTTCCAGAATGCAATATTTGCATATTATTGCAAAATCATAACTTGACACTGAATCTTTATGCCATTAAGCATCTAACTCCGTGATTGCCTCTGAGTGAACATGTTATCAAGTTGCTGTGACCCACGGCATGCATAGTTGACATGGTAGTAGGTGAAGGTCTCCAGGCTGTCTTGTGCTAACAAATCACTATTCCAGGGAAGTAGGAAATGTTTTATGTTCAAATATAATTGAATTGGAATGACTTGGAATTCCATCCCATGAAAACCTTTTTTTTTTAATACAATGTTAACACAGAGGTCCTGATAAATTCACTTGCAATATATAAATCTATAAATATTTCACATCTGTAACTACTTGTGAAGAAACCATCACAAAGTTTATTCATTTGGCTCGTTGCTAGTTTCCATGGGTAATGTGACTTCAAGGACAACATGGGTACCATTACAACAGTATTTCTTAAACTAGCTTGGGAAAATATGTTATCGAATATGTGTGAACGTTATGCATTTGACAAGTGCATGAAGATCAGAGTGTGGGACAGACTACTGTTGAAATATTTTAGTTGCATGCCAGTTATGTGCGCTGATGATGTTTGATGTATAACATTGTGTGATGCAAGAATGATCATTCTACTTTATGCATGCATGCATGCAAGCCTCGGGGCAGCTGTACTTTTTCTCCTGTGGTTATGTTACTCATGAAAGCTTTCATAATCCAACTGACCACTGTAATCTTGTGATGTATTTTCTCTGCTTTCTTTAACATCATGAACATCTCTGATAAATATTAATTTAATGTTTATAATCATGATTATAGAAGACTAGTTTGGAAACTGCTTAATTTTCTAACTAATCTTGAAATGTGTTGTTCTGTTAACCATTATTAACATAAGGATTCATATCAATCAGGGCCTAGATTTTCAGTGCTCTCTTAGAGCTAAGGAAGTCGTAAGTTAATGTTAATGTATGGCACTAACAAATATCTTAGAGCTAAGAGAGCTTCGAAAGTCTAGGCCGAGCAGCTTAAAGACAGTTTAGGAGACGTACGTAGTTAAAAATGTTACACATGGTTTATTACGATGCTCCTGATTGATATGGGTTCTGCGAGTACAGTGACACCATGTTGGGAGAACTTTACAAGGAACAACAGCGTGCAACTACAGGAAATATTTCTACAGCCATATTGGGAGTAATCTTCATCAACAAATTCAAATCTTTTTTGTTTAGAGATTGTACTGGTGAATATTTTGTCATTTTTGCCGAACAGAGAAAAAAATAGATTTAGAAGGCTCTTTTTCAACAGTGAAAATCATTTTTGAAAATTTAGGTTTTGGTCCTGTGAAATATTGTACGTCTCAAATATGAAAGTGGGATTTCATTGTCATTTTTATTGTCAAAGCAATCCTTATTATTGCAGACAGAGAAATTGTTTTTGTCACCCTGACATATTTTTTTCTTATTTTTGTATTTTTAAGTTTGGCACACACCTAGCAAAATAAAATGTAATGCAAAGTTCTTTTTTTTTTAAATTCTTTTTATTGTACCGTAAAGGCAAACTTGACAGGTATCTGTTTAGATTACCTGGTACTAACAGTAAAGTGATATTCCCCAGTCAACTGCTCATCGTCTACTGCTGTAAACCATATGGTGTCACTGAACTGTAAGCCTTGATTGTTCCTATCATAAACAATAACATCATTTAACATTGTTACACATTGACTCAATCATGCTGAAGTTGCCTGTTGGTCACGCAGTGTGACAGTTCAGGTCGTCCAAGGTCAAGGTCGTGGTTGTCGTTTTGTAATAAGGGAACTTGGTCATTCTTTTTAGGGATTACTTTATGGAGAATCTAGGGGAAGGGTTGCTGCAAAAACGATCCACAACGCAATTGTAAGTACTGTGTTGTCAGCCTATCTGGTTACCATGGTTACAGTTTGTCCTCCATTTGCTTTTTGGGTGGATTAGAAACATGCAACCCAAACCTCCTACCCAGATTTCAGCAGCACATGTTGTGAGTGTATTCTGTATGAGACTGTGCACAGTGACGAGGGTTTGCCAGCTTTCTTTCATTTTTCGCTTCTTTGTATTTTCCCATTGCAACACAGTTGTGGAGATCCATAAACTTGTCCTTGCATCATACTGACTTTTGTCTGACATTGGCAGATACAGGGGGATTGGAATCACCACCCAACCCATCTTCATACCCCTTGTAGGGCAGTGGAACAGATACACTTAACTGAACAGGACTTTCCTATAGACTAGCTTGGAACTAAACATTAATCTCTGTTAATCTTTTTTAAGGAGGTTGCATACTAAATATCAAGAAATTGCTAAATTTGGTATCATTTTGTAGAAAAATGTGTCCCGAATCTAATTATGTAATAAAAATAGCAAGTCACCATGGTATTTGTTTGACAAGTGGAGCCCCCTTGTGGCACCGTCTGTAAAAAGTGATATGTCAATAAAAGTTCTCTTAAAAGTAAATTGTTTACTTTTATTATTCAATATGTGTTTTTTATAAAGATTTTTCAGTATTGATATGAAATAAAGCTGGAAAATCAATTTTCAAGGCAGTATGTAGGATTTGACACATTAATTAACTTCTGAAAAAACAGGAATTTAAACAAAATATTAAATCATTAATGAAAAAGAGATTTATTTATAATAACACATTTTTTTAAAAAAATTATATAGTAAATTCACACTAGATTAATATTCAAAAATAAAAAAATTATGTTACCAGAGGGTATCAACATTATCTCCAATTAAAACAGCATACCCGAATTAAATTTGATAAGGGGAGATAACTCTTGCCCAGGTTTACATCAGAGGCGTGTTCAGAACCGCGAGCCAGCGCTGAACGCTAGCGAAGCCGATCCTGAACGCTTAGCTGTGCTCGAAGCCGCACAAGACGCGAACCATCCTCACAGGTGCCTCGCCAAGCGAACCAACATGGCGATCATGTTTAATGTCATTCGTCACCACTCGCCCCTTTCCGTAACCTCCAAAAAGAAGGCATGGAGGATATTTTGTTAGGTAATGTTGTCAAATAACATGTATATTTCATCGAAAGTGGTCTGACAAAGTTGATATGTTCACGAAAGTGGCGTAACTATTGACAACATTAACAAAATATATTCTATTTATTATATTTTGATCAATGTTTATAAATGATCGAGACATCGATTTCAGTAGTTAGCGTTTTAGTAGTTCCAGGCAAAAGTGATATTCTACTCAGTGAAAATGAAAATACCATTTTTCTTTTCACCAATGTCAGTAGTTCACCCTTAAGAATATAATAAAGAAGCTATTCGGCTTGTCCCGAACAAGACGAAGTTGGTCACGCGAATGGTTTATTGTAACCAAAGCTCAGTCCGTTCAGGCCAATGCGAAGCGCTTCAGGGAGGCAATCGCGCGGGCGCTCGCGGTTCTGAACACGCCTCAGAATAATGCTTGTGTGGCCAAAATATCATGAAGTATGATTAGATGCAAGATAAAGGGAAATAACTGCGTAACATAAATACACACTCCTACTGTCACATCCCGACGGCATGCGCACAAACCACGGTATCCAACCTCTTTAAATGGATGAATAAATTTGAATGTGTCACCAGAAAGTAGACATTTGTTTGAAAAAGTGGTAAACTATATCTACAAAAGAAAGCCAACAAGAATATGTGTTTTAAAATAACAAGTGATTTGAAGTCCAGATTCTTAGTTTTCATGTCTAAACAGTCTCAAGGCTAGTGCTATTATAGCTAGCCTAATCGGAGATTGTATGTCCTATTGCCATGAGCAATAAGTCAAATTTGACCTGTCATTAGGTTTTGATTTACATGTGTTTTTATGTGTTCAGACTGTACTGAATGCTCATACTCAGATGTTTGTTCCATGCCCCAAGTCTTAAGTTCACCATTGAAAACTAACACCTGGACCCAAATAAAAGAATGAGGTCCCAAATCCACCCTGGATCTGCCTGTACGTGAATGCTGAGTCAGCAATAATCTTCATCACCTCATCATCACACTGCTGACTTGCAATTTCCTATATGTCTTTGTGTCTGTGATAAGTGTAATGTCTGCTTGCTGATATTACTAATATGTATGTATTAACGATGTACATGACCCGTGTGTAGTGTCTGGGGTTATGGATATAGTGTCTGTGCTGGGATTTGATGTGTGTATTGTATACATGAGTATTGCGATGTATGGACATTGTCATCTTTAAAACCTACTCCAGTTTGTACAAACACTAAGCCATGAACACTTGCCCTCTTGTGTCGAAAATATGGTTTGTACTTGCCACATAGATGCATGTAATATGGCTACCTTACCATTGTATAAAGCTACGACATATGTACAATGAACATCAAGGTGTGTTATGGCTGTTTGGTGCTAGAATCATCTGCTATACACCAAGAAGACTTGATGGGTAGAAGTCTGCAAGGCTTCGGGGCCTTTGATGCTGCATGTCTGCCTTGTGTGTTGGGGAAGGGGAGGGGGTATCACTCATATACTTTATGAATTTCTTACATTATGACTTGTGATGCATGTTGATGATACATCTTTGTTCGCCACACTTCCAGCACCGTGCTGCTGATGCTGATTTGTTTTTTCTCTCCATAGTTACCGTTGCTTTAATACTTGGAGGAATAGCTTGTCAATGTTATCAGTATTTGTTGATTGTTATTTTCATTTCTGATTTCTCTTTTTAGTATTTTTTATTTGCTTTTCACTTGTTTAGCTATTTCACTTCCTGCCCAGCATTTATCCACTACACATAGCCTTGCCCTTGTAGCATCAGTTGATTCTCATTGTCAGATTGTTGAATTCTCTTTAAATTTTAGCTTTTGAGATTTGTTTTGAGCAAGAGGATTTTGTTTATTGAACTGTAATGTTATGAGTGTACTGGCCTGGCTGTTGTAGTCTAATGCAGCACGTGGAGGCATTGATTGCCCCACACTGATGGGTGAGGAGACAAGGTAAACCAAGAGTGTGATAGCATGTGGATTCAGTTAATGTCAAGTATTAATGGTATGGTTAAATATGTCAGCCAAATAATATTGATAAATCTTGCGGTGTTAATTAGTGTGATGATCAACTGCTTTGAATTCAAATAAATCCATTTGGGCTGATAATGAATGTTTAAAATGGTGTTATCACTCCGTGATAGTATAGTTGAATATGTCAGCCAAATAATTTTAGTAAATCCTGCGATGTTAATTAATGTGATGATCAACTGCTTTGAATTGAAATAGATCCATTTGGGCTGATAATGAATGTTTAAAATGGAGTTAACTCTCCATTTGCTGAGTGTTCAATACTAAGTTCTGTTTCTGTAATATGAAAGAGATTGTGAAAGATAACATTGCTCTGTGACCAGAATACACACAGACTCTTTTTATTTTTCCAGGAGGCAGATCAATGATGCAGTAAGGTAACTAGTTTATCTTGTTATGGTGTTATCATATAATGATAGTGTTATCACATGGCAGCAGTCTGTAAATAGGACCAGACAGTTCAGTGATCAACAGCATGAGCATCGATCTACACAATCGGGATAGTATGACCTGCCAACCAAGTGATCTATTCTAACCCAAGTTCTTCACGGTTGTAATGGATAGTGGTATCATAAAATGGATAGTGTTATCACATAGTGGATGGCGGTATAAAAGGGACAATGGTATAAAGTGGACTGTATTGTCATACCTTGGATAGTGGTGTTGATAGAATAAGCTAATAAATTTGATATGAAGATAATATGTAAAGTAGTTCATGGGGCAGAGACTATATCTTATATCTGAGCTGCATTCATTGATTCAGTGTCTGTTTGCTCACTAAAATAATGACGTTTCTAATAATTTTTCTAACAATCCAAACTGTGTGGATGATTATGTAAAGATACATGTCCGCTAACTATTTGACACTGTATTATAATTTGTCCGATCTGCTCTAACACTGTATTCATAAGAGGTACTAGTATCTGAAGTCACTTCTTAGAATGACATTATGTCTTAATTGTTGTATTGTATTAATATTCATACTGTTATTTCTGTGACATCTGATGTTGTAGGAGCATGATGGCTGCCCTGTTCCCCACTCTGGAGACGGACCTTGACAACTTCTTCGTCTTCGCTGACCAGAGGGATGGACTGTAAGTGATCTCTGGACACCCTTTAGATACAGCTAAACTTGCTTTTTGTGTCCACAATATCTTCTTTTGTTGCATCGATGATTTCCTTAAAACTGACTTTCGACACACACACCCAATATGACTCACTCACTCACTCACCCCCGTGCCAATATCACTCATGACTATGCCTATGACTCCCTTACCCCATGCCATTATGACTCCCTCGCTCACCCCCATGCCAATATATCACTCACTCACTCATTTCCACATGGCTCTCTCACTCACCCACATGTCCATATGACTCCAGAAACTCCATGTACATGCTGGTGAAACTGAGCGCCCACGTCAACCACTCGCAGGACATGGGGTCCTTCCTCAGCAAGACTTTCGGCAACTGCCTTGTGAAGGTCAAGCGCAACTTCGACAAGTACATTGTAAGTAAAAACAAAGCCTGTTAACAGTTAATCAGTTGTATCTACAGCCATCAAGTGTGGACAGGTTGGTTGATGGAATGCCTGAATTGGCATCTATTGTCAACAGATTAATGAGGATAGGATGATGGCAGGAAGTGAATATTTGTGAATATTTTATGAAATATTGAAAGACTACATGAAGGGTCCACATGTTGTTGTCTGTGTGGAGAGATCGGCCATGTTGACTATGTATGTCATGTGTTTTGGTTTTCAGCAAGTCCAGATTCGGGGAGTGGAGGAGACGAAAGTGTCCAAGAAGAACAGATGTGGGATCATCAGCTTTGTCCACAACTTTGAGGTAGGTCCTGGAGGCTGGTCTGAAAAAGCATGCAGAGAGTCCCTGGGTAGATTCTCAGAAAGACTGATTTGTCTGAAGCCTGAAGTATGAAGTATGTACTCATGCTGCCATAAACTTGTTGGTTCATTGTATGACCTGGCTGGGTGTGTTTCATACTCCCAGATGACGTGGGTCACAGTGATGATATTATTGCTTGATGCATACTCCACGGTAACCTGTTGGTTGCTTGGTTCATTGGTTTGATGTTTAACACCACATTCTAGCTATATATGGCGGCGGTTGGGAAATAATCGAGTCTGGACCAGACAATCCAGTGATCAACAGCAAGAGTATCGATCTACGCAATTGGGATACGATGACATGTGTCAACCAAGTCAGTGCACCTGACCACCCTATCCTGTTAGTTGCGTTTTACAACAAGCATGGATTGCTGAAGACCAATTCTAACTCGGATCTTCACGGTCTAATGGTTTACTGGCTGCCATGAACTAAATGTGTTATGATTCATTGCTGTTATCTACATTAAAGGATTGGTGAATTGGTTGGTTTTGGCACTGCCTTAAAGAATACATTTCAGTTTCACTATGGCGTGTCAGAATGCCAAAGAAATGGGGGAACACTCAAAGACATTCATTTATCTTGTGGCACTTTGTCAGACATGTAGACCTGAGGCTACTACTGTGTTGCAGGACTTTGCCAACCTGGCTGAGCGAATCTTCAAGGGCTCAGATCGCCATGCAGATCTGGAGAAGGCCTACGCTAAACTGGTGCAGGTTATATTTGAGCAGATCGTCCGAGTGGCAACAGAGCAACAGAAGAATCCGAGGGAGGTTGTCATGATGGGTAGGTGTCATCTCATCTGTATCGACAAGACCACAACATGCTACGCATATTGTCAGGGGACCTGGCAGCTTCTCTTTCTTAACCAATGGCTCAGGTCATTTTGAGATTCTTAACTTTTCCCAAAGTGTAAAGAAAAATCTTTGAAGGTTCCGTATAATTTATGCCAATTTGTTTTGTTGATCGTTTTGATTCATCATTTATTCTTTATATTTTCCAGAAAACTTCCACAGAATGTATTGTAAGTATGATAGATTTTGATTTAGTTTTAATCAGATTGGGAGAGATGTTATTGTTATTTGCAGTACCTTCAGTAATGTTAATTAATTTATCAACACAACGATGAACGAAGTGATGACATGGGTGTGAAAACTAGAATGTTATATGGTAACTAAATGTTGGAGTGTTTCTATGGTGTGTCTCAGTTGACCAGATAATGATCTTCCTGTCCCCGCAGCCATCTTGTCCCAGCTGAAGCTGTCCTGTCTGGAGAACGAGCGGAAGGACGCCAAGCAGCGATACTGGGACAACCTTCGGACCTACACCACCACACTGCTGGGTCGCCCCCTAGAGAAACTACATGTGAGTGCCCCACATTACACAGTCATTGTCACTGACATAAAATGTAATGTCATGCTTTGCCACAGTGTCCTCAAATGCCTACACATTACGTTAAACAAGAAGGTTCATGAAGCTAGCTTCAGTTTATGTTAGAATTTTTTTTAGAAGAAATTTATGAATGTGGTTATTCATACTGATTTGAAAATGAATTCAGGTTTATGAAGGATAAATATTTCAGCAATTCAACTGAAAACCACTGGTTCATTGCTTGTTTCAGTGGTGTCTCAGTGTATTCAACAGGACATGAAAACCTGAAACTTGGATCAGTATTTCTTATTGATAGTTAATGCTTGTTTAATGTCCCTTCATCATTTCAACTGATGAAGTGGGATAAAGCAGCTGAAAACGGCTCTGACCAGGCTTTTGTTCTTTGATTTTATGTCGTACCTACTATATGCCAAGCAAAGACTTAATGCTGGTACCTGTGAAGATCCCGGTTAGAATTGATCTTCAGTAAGCCATGCTTGTCGTGAGATGCGACTAAGGGGATCGGGTGGTCAGGATCGCTGACTTAGTTGACACGTCATTGTATCCTAATTGCGTAGATCGATGCTCATGCTGTTGATCACTGGATTTTCTGGACCAGACTCGATTATTTACAGACCGCCACCATATACCTGGAATATTGCTGAGTGCGGCATAAAACTAAACTCACTAACTCACTGACTTAATGCTGGTCAAAGGTTCTTGTGTGCACATATCATGTTTATCTCTGTTACTTGAGGTCAGTATGCTGCTGTCTGTATTGATTTACATTAAGTGCTGTTGTTTCTGCAGATATTTCTCAGAATTGTCAGAATTTGTTCTTCATCAGCCAGAACAGAGAAAGTGTGTGAAAGAGCTTCTATCTGCACCAGGCTAACATGCTCTGTCTCTGCAGATCTTCTTCGAGGGTGTTGAGAAGCGTGTGGCCAGTGGTGTGAAGCCCGAGGAAGTGGGCTTCCAGCTGGCCTTCAGTAAACAGGAGCTGCGTAAAGTCATCAAGGAGTACCCTGGGAAGGAGGTCAGTGGCCCTGGAACTTGATCTGCAAGTCTCCCTCGAACCAGAGACATTCCACAAAAACTCAATGCTATGGCTGTCATAACTTAAATACTTTATAGACTCACTTGTTGTTGTGGGTAAAAAAAATTGTATTTGACCATTATGATAATGGAGGTAAATACTGCCTCCAGATATGCGTGTTTGAACATTTAGATGATTAGGCCTCCTTCTTCCTGGGAGACCATCTTTAATATTGTTATGCAGACATGTAGTATTCACAGATTGGAAAATGAATGTTATTGGATACTTTGACAGTAGATCTAGCACAGAATCTTTCATGTTTTTGTTTTTGTATTATTTTTTGTCCAGGTGAAGAAGAACCTGGAACACCTCAACAAGAAGGTGGAGAAGCAGCTCAGTGAGGAGGAGCACCTGCTAGAGGTATTTGTCTCCCCTTAGGAGAGGTTACTTCCCCTTGAGTTGACTATACATGACTTCTGTTTATCACCCAAAGTTGGCTCTGGACTATCTGATTACCGAACTTCTTGATAAGACTTACTAGGAAGGAAGTTCACTTGAAGTCCTTTAATGACAGTGAAATGATTTTGTTGGACTATATTTTTGTAAAATGTTTACTTACTTCTTTTGATTCAATGAACATATCCCCTGAATAGTGGACTGAGAATGGATATCTATAATGTTTAGCTTCTTATGTAAATATTGTATTGGAGTGTCAGCAGCAGGTGTTTGTAACAGGTGTGTCTGATGGTTCTGTTTGCGTGTAGGTTGTGTGGCGTGAGATGCAGGATGAGTTCATCAAGCAGTACAAGCACTACGACGACCTGAGCAAGAAGTGCTACCCCGACATGCAGATCACCCTGGACTTTAGCATTGATGATGTACTCGAGTTCTTCTCCAGTATAGCTCGGTCACACTAGATGGGTTAGTCCGCTGTAGTCTGTCTGGAGTGGCAGGATTATACTGCAGATCGAAATGTTCAGATATGAAGATGCTCAGACTAGATGGGTAACCCATGCTGGGCTGTATGGTGGGATTATGCTGAGGATTAACACTCTGAAGGTTTAACCCGTTCAGATAAGTCAGGTTAACATTTACTGGGTCTGTTTGGAGTGGTAGGATTTTCTGCAGGTCTGTTACAGAGATTCTCACCTTTAGATGTCCTGTGCATGAAACAAGTAAAGCAACTATATGGACAAACAGCAGATTAATGCATAAAATGCACACCATTGTATTCTAATGGATAAAGGTCCAATTGATTTAGGCTTGAAGTATTCCATCAGTGACCAGTCCGCACATGGATGATTTGCCATTAAGATACTCCTTCAACAGTTAATGGAAGTTAGCCATGGTAGATGATGGATATTTTATGAGTGCTTCCAGTGAAGCTAGTTTTGCTCTGGATAACCATGGTTGTGGGATTATTGATGTGGATCCCGATGATGAAATATAAAGGAACCTTTTGCCATTGTCACTGTTCTATATATGGAATAGTTGTAGGTTTACAATTAACACTGCATCTCAGGTCATGACCTGAATTGTATTTGTTAAAATGCAGCCTAAGCTCTTTCAACCCTGGCCAGATATTGTTTACATTCTTGTGTTACAATGACAAACTACCCTTTATTTGACAAGTCGGTGACTATTAAGTCTCCATGTTAACTTATACATACCCGATTCTCAGTAACTCTAAGTAAGTACTGTCACTTTAAGAAAACATATTCTATCAAAATTGATTCTTATTTTCATAACATCATAGTTATGTTTTGGTGAACAAGGTCGTAAGGCACATCGTCAACTGGACATACAGGATGTTCTTTGAAATATCTTTGCGAAAACATAAATTGTGTGGTGAAGGAAAATTCCAGGGCACCTGTAAGATGTGGATGTATTTTTGTGTAGTGCTCCCAGCCACACATTGTCACCTGCTAGTGCTTGCTTCTGTGTTTTGCCAAATTGTCAGTCACCTATTTGATACGTGCAATATTTTTTGCTGAATTGGTTATCAGTTTCATTATCATGTATGAGAAGATTCATGTAAACATATACACTCTGTTAAATATGAATGCTGTAAATACACCTATTTATATATTGTATCAAAATATGTTTATATGAAGCTTAATAAATGTCAAATATTCTGTCACTTAATATCGCAATATGTTTTTGTGAAATAATATCACTGAATTCACATGGCGTATATGTGTGGAAAAAACAACATGAAGCACCAGCAATAATTCAACACAGGAACAATGGACAGGACACTACAAGAAGTCTGTGTATGCAGCAGTGATGGAGGAGGTGTAGTGAGTGTTAGGGATGAGTGAGTGAGTTATTATTTAACGTCACATCGGCAATATTGCAGCCATATCGTGATTAGGGATGAAGCATTCTGGTCAGCTTCATCATCCAACACATTGGTTAAGAAAAAGAATGTCAATAGTTAAATGGGAAACAGGTTCTGTAGGTTCCATGCACTGCTCCAGGTTGTTGAACTGGGCGCCTGTCTACCCATATGCACAAATGCAATTTTTACTGATTATATAAGACCGACTTGAATACCAATTCATGTATATGAATTTAAAAAAGGAAAGAAAAAATGTGTGAAAGAATTTATGTCCAATACACAAGATACTGAATACAATGATTGACAACAGTATTTCTTAATATGTACACTGGATCTTGGAAAATGTTCATGATGGCTAAAAATAAATTATCAATGAACCTGATATATTTTGATTATGGAATAAACCAATAGTATGATACATCGGAAAGAAAAATACAAACAAGACCCCTTTGTAAAGAAAATGTAACTACATAAGAATGTTAACATGCCTAAGCAAAGTGTTTACATGATCGTAGACCAAATATCATGCATAAACATGGCTTTCTATCAACTAAATATTGTCGGTGTATTATAAAAATGTATTATGAAATATAATAACTAAGTAGGAGAATAAATTTAGTAATATTGTTTATATCAAGCAATACATTTTAAACAGTGCCAGGTAAACAAAGGAAAATGAAACAATCTCCTTACAAGGCCGGAAGTGAGACGACCCGGAAGTGGGCCCTGAAGTTACTGGTGGAGGTGATGGTGGAGCACCACAAGCTTCAGACATCACAGTGTTGTTTCCTGTCTTCACTTCCACGATTGTGAACACTGGGGGCAGGGAAGACTCGAAATAGTGGAACTGTACGCTCTCTATAGCGCCAGAAACATTTCGGTTGAATTTGACGCTAAAAACGTTCGGGTCTTCCTCAACGGGAACATTAGCAAGAGGACCTGTATTATACTGGATAAAGTCCTCGCGATTACCTCCCTTGGCTTTTAAGTATCCGACTAGTAGCTCTCCATATCTGTAAAGAAGGAATGGAATAATTCCTGACACGTTCATACTACACGGCGTTAATTGGAACTGAGTACTAACAACGGTGAGAATGAATGGTGACGCTCACCTATAGCCAAGCAGATGGTCACCGACGTCGTCGTGGAAGATCTCCAGCGTACCGAACGCTGGGTGGTAGTATTTGCCAATATACTCGGTGGTGTTGATGGCGACGCCATTTTCAGGGACGGCAGGGGCTGGAGGTACGGCATCCTCCTGCAACCACGGTGACGGGAAGGAGCAGGCAGTGCTTGAGTTCAACCAGATCTCGTTGCCTTCATCACGAAATATCAGTGTTAATATGTATTTGATGATTGTATAACGCCGCACTCATCAATAATGAATTCGCTCGTCACGCCGAAGAGTCTGGTTCAATTCCACATGGGTACAATGTGTGAAGTCCATTTCTGGTGTCGCCAGCCATGATTTTGCTGGAATATTGCTAAAAGCGGTGTCAAACCAAACTCACTCACTCACACACTCACTCATCAATAATCCTACTATAGTCGAGTCTTGACCAGACGATTCAGGCATCAACCAAGTCTGAACACCCGATACTGTAAGTCGACTCTTGCGACAAGCATGGGTTGCTGAAGACCTATTCTACAGGTAGGTGCTATTCACTAATTGTGTGTGAGATATACGTTTCCATAAGTATTAATTGCAGTGGAAATGTATTAAATGGACTTTAGCTGAATTAGCAATCAAACAAATATGAAATAACTTCGAAACTAAACGTGTCTGTACTATAGTCTGGCAATGCGTAATGAGATGACTTAACCACAGACAACGTGTCCTTCATGACCTAAGACTGAGACATTATGCTCCCTAACATGGGGGTTCTTGTCGACAACTGGTTTGGCTTGACCAGAGAAAATCATTACCAAATAAGCAACTGCATGAAGCACTTGCTGCAGCCAAATTCCGCGAAGATGGCGCCTTTATGCGAACTACTCCACGCCGATGAACAACTTACATTCTGTTAGTACTATTGGAACCACAAATGTGTAGCTCAGGAGTATTGTTGGTATAAAAGGAGTATAGTAGCAGTTTGCTGTTGTTGATTGATCAAGTTTACAAGTTGTTCTTGTAACACTTGATTCCCGGAGAGAATCTGCGTAATAGGTCGTCAGAAACTCTTGATGGTCATTAAAGTGAGTGAGTTGGGTGATACGCCGCTTCTACCAATATTCCAGCGGTATCACGGCTGGGGACACCAGAAATGGGATTTCACACATTTTACCCATGCGGGTAAGCTGACCCGGGCATTCGGTGTGACGAGCGAACGCTTTAGCCACTGGACTACCCAACTGCAACCTGCCATTAAAGCTTATAGTGGGAAAGGTGTAAGAATAGGTACTGAATCCTGAGGGTTGGCCTATGTTTGTGTTTGAAGCCACAAGCATGTTTACAGGTACGTTAGAGTTTGTAAATAGTCATGTAGATACAGGTCGACATTAGGATGCATCTGATCTTCAGGAGTTGGATTTACCCAGCATGAGGTCAAGGCTGTACATGATGACGGTGTTCCTGGCGTCGAAGCCCCTGTGGTTGGCAGCGCCGGAGAGGTGAGCCCATACACCGACGCCGACTTCAGGCAGGAACGTGAGCGTCCCTTGGTAGCCGTTGTAGGCGGCCATGTGGAGATTCTTCTTGTAACCTACAAGATAAGACATTGTAACGTCCTGAACAGAAATTTATACAAAATGAGGATAATTTAAAAGATTTTTATGTAACTTGTTGTTGTTTTAGACAAGATATCAGAATGAATAAATACATAGGTCGAATTTCACGAAGACCTTATACCGCTTGTATCGAAGTTAAGTATCGGATAAATGGCGTTCCTTTAGAGCCAAATAGCAAAACACATCGCGGAGTTTTACTTAACTCCGTCTTAAATTTGCTTGTTAAAGAGGTGTTCAATAAATTCTTAAACATTAACATCTATTAGAGAACGCCCGATGTCATGGGGGACTGTCAGTGGTCCATTCATATAATTTTCACAGTTATTTTATGGTTTTTTTTATCGAAGTGTAATCTACTTCATGGACAGACTGGTTTTCTCTGTCCTTGACATATATATTTATACCTGTCCAGTATCTCGTGTGCTTGGGAGCAGTTACACTTACCTGTATATACATATTATACATTTGTCACGCCATGGTCGGTTGTTAACTATTCATTTGTTCAAAAAAGACGGATTGTACGCCCAAGTTAACTATTATGCAATCAAGAAAAGAAGTATGTTAATTGCTCTGAGAGGAACAAACGCGCAATCGATTTGTGTGTCACTTGACCTCTGTACACGCCGTTCCTCCAGCCCATGGCGTAGGAGTAGATGAGGTCGTCGACGGGGAAGGTGTCCCGGGTGAGGTAAGTGGTATACCAGGCGGTGTTCGGGTGGTAGGTGTCCTGCAGAGCCTGCGCACCGACCACCTGGTGTCCTTGCTCGTTCTGAAATACAACCGAACGTCGGTTACGCCGCACCCAATATTATGGATATATACGGCGAGACAAGCGTGTGTTTAATCAACAGAGAAACACAGCCTGGTCACACGTGACAACAAGACACGTGGTCCCCGTGTAAGTCAGCTCGTGGAACAAGCTCGTTTTGTTTTTAACTACCCTCAGAAGAGACACACCGGGTACTGGGGACTCTCAATGTCGAAGACCTGCGTCGCTTTTCAAAGCGTGCGAGTAGGTATGGTTTTACACCGTATTAAGCAATATTCCAGCAACATCTCGGCGGGGGACACCAGAAATCGGCTTCACACATTGTACCCATGTGGGGAATCGAACCCGGGTCTTCGGCGTGACGATCGAACGCTTTAACCCCTAGGCTACCCCGCTGTCCCACTTTTCAAAAGAGATCACAGTATATTTTGATGAACATTTAAATGTCTGGCAACTTCGATTTGCGCTTTGATGTTGATTTTCAGCTAGCAGAAGTGCTTTCAATGAGCACCTGACAGATAGAAAATCACTGTTTGCTGTTTACATTACAAAAACAACCACAACAACAACACAACAACACGTAAAAGTATCATGCTCCCATTAGAGACACAAACACGCTGTTTGAATTGAATTCAGGAATAAATATATTTTCCTCTCATTTCTTTATGAAGAACAGTTTCTTTTTTTTGTCCGTAAGTATATACCCTGAAATTTTAAATTCTTTTGAATATGGAAAACAACATTTGTGCATGAAAATTGTAAAGTGAGTGAGTGAAGTCTGCGTCAGCGTCAACGAAATTTCAACAACCGTGGTATCCGTTTGTCCGGAGCTTTTCAATCCCAACACCCCGTTGATTCCCCTATCTTGTCGACGGTTACTGCTGGGAAGGACGTATTACTTCCTGACCTTGATTTTGTAACGGGAAATTCGTTCATCCGAACAATGTCAGCTGTATATCTATCATCGGAGTAAACCAGGTTCGATCGTCTGTCGAGTAGCCTTGTAGAAGCCTACCTTTCCCGAGTTGAGATGAAAGCGAAGCCACTTCGCCATGTCCTGGGCGTTACTGTAGACGCCGGCAGCTGGAGCTATCTCCTGGACGATCCTGAAAACACGTTATCCAGCTACTTGTATACTACCCATCAAAAGCTTAGACTCACTAGTGTAAATGTAACCACTTACTTCAGTCAACTGTTCTAAACTGGATTTTGCAAACTTTTCCATACTGTTTAAAGGTACTGTTTATACATGAACTGATGTATTGTAAAACAAATTCGCAGCGTTGTAAAGATTATTGTCGAGTTCAATACATGGTGAAACTAAGTGTAAATTGGCGAATTCTTAACAACACTCAACACCAAAACTAAGCTGTTCACGAGCACGATATTGCACATGCTTTTCAGCAATTTGATACATGATCCTCTTGCAACCCATCTGCATAAGGTTAGCAGTTGTTTCCCCCAAGTAGTAGAGAAATTCACCTTCGACGTAACCATATACATATACATAACATATAGTGAGTTCTGTAAGTGAGTCTAAACTTTTGATGGGTAGTATATAAACAGCGCCCACTTGCACAAGGGCGGTGGTGTAGCCAAGTTGTTAGAGCGTTCGCTCGTCATGCTGAAGGCCTGGGTTCGATTCCCCACATGGGTACAATGTGTGAAGCCCACTCTGGTGTCCCCCGCAGTGATATTGCTGGAATATTGCTACAAGCGGCGTAAAACACAACTCGTTCATTTGCGTAAAACGATCTTAGCGTAGAGTGTATGTTAGAGTATGGGAGCTGCGATTACCGAAGCACCAACACGTGGAAGTACACCCAGCCAGACATCTACTGAAGGATTTTACGACACTTCATGTTAGTAATCTGTATTTTACGCCAACATCACTGTCTTACAATTGCAGCTGCACGTTTGGCATAATGTAAGCATGGTTACTTATAGGATTCGGATATAACATAGGGAATTCCCCTTCGATCAAGAGGGGGTGGAGTGATGTGGTGTGGGTTTGGTAATGGGAGTATCGACAGGTCAGTGAACGGGACAGTGGTTGGGTGGTCGGAGATGTCATCTACTGTACCCACGTGTTAACCACAGTCTTCAATGTGAGAAGTATCGTTTTGGTCACCACGTTTTGTGTAGGTGGCAATATGGTAGAATGTGGAATAAACAGCATGTAGCTTTTCCGTGATGGTCGGACAGTCTGACTTTCGCTACTCACGGTAACAGCGTTGGCTCGTCGAACTGCTCCACCTTGTTGTGGACGATGTCGGCGGAGTAGGCGATGTTGTTCCAGTCGGCGTCCGTTAACCGCGTGCTTAGACGACTTGATGTCATTCCTGCAGTTGCATTTAAGTATGACCAGTGAGTCAAGGTTCGATCGTTATATAGCCCGTTGTCAATTTTGTCTTTGAGGATTTGGAGGTTGTGTTCAGTTTGACTTCATAATGACGTCAAGTGATGTTTTGGGAAGACAGTTTGCAAAGTCTTACTTACATAACTTCTAAATCATCCAGTCAACGGAACAAGTAAGAAATCATGGTCTCACCAAGAGGTTTGAATATTCTGTTTTGGATGGCGGCTTCCCATGTCTCGCACGATGCCGTCTCCACTGCTGCCGCCGCCGCTACATACAGGTAGTTGCTGTAGAGGTAGCGGTCCCGGAAGTCGTACTGAACGGGGAAGTCTTTCATACGTCTGCAGAAACAACAAATCACTTCATGACGTAATTACCGCTCCTGTACCACTACTACTGCTGGTGCTACTGCTACTATTACTGCTACTACTACCACTGGTGCTACTACTAATACTACTATGACTGCTTCTACTACTACTACTACTACTAATTCTACTACTGCTATTACTACTACTACTACCAACGTACTCCAGAATCTGCAGTCTTGTCAGGTTCATCACTGATGTGGAGATGCCCCAGTAGGAAGGCATCCCAAGTCGGTGTGACAGCAGGTCCCGCAAGGACGCTTCCTCAGACCGGAAGTCATCCTGAAGCCGGAAGTTAGGGCCAAGCACCTGCATTGTCAACACAACAGTTATTATTACCTATATCGTTAGCAGAATAAAAGTATAGGAAACCCTAGCGTTACGTATAACCTGTGAATGTCTCATACCCATCGAAGAGAAGTACAGTTGACATAAAAAGAAGGTGAGACGCGCTTCTCAAATGTTGAATTGAGAAAGGTTACCCAGTAGTCAATTCACTGTATAGAGTTACGTCCCTTGGGTACACCAGAAACCTGTGATCGTTGCTTCCAGTTCGCCTCTATTATGTTTTTGGGTGTTAAATCCATGATCCTCAGTAACTTACTCCATATAGGCACCAAAGAGGCATTGTGAGGAATAAATGACAGATAAAGCATAAAATCACTTTTCAGATACACCATGCTTGTCAAATACACAAAGCCACATCCATGTATACATGTCAAGAGAAATTTGGAATACGCAACATGTATTAAATAATATATAGAGGACCTCTCTGAGTGGCGCGTCCCACTTGATCTTCCCTCTTGCAACAGCGTCAGCTGCCACAGTGCTGGTGAACGCCTTGGATTGCGACGCTAGATTGAACAGCGTTTTGTCAGTGACAGCATCGCTTGAGTTGGTCTCGCGGATACCGAAGCCCCCAGTGTACAGAGTTTCGTTATGGCGGACCAATGCTACCCCCATCCCAGGGACGTTACGACATTGTACAACGTTCCGAATAAACTCCTCCAACTTTCCAACCTGCTCGGGACTGAGAGGACTGGCTACGGCGTCGTGCGCCACGCTACACAACACGAGCACTAAACACAGAACACCCGTCATAGTGGACATGGCTGTATGAGGGGACATGGTCTTTATGGATCACGACGACATCTGTGGGGACGCTGCGGGCGTATCTTAACGACACATCAAGCCAGGGTTTGGCAGTGTCGGGCCATTTCTTCAGTCTCACTATCAGCAAGACACCAGGGTAGCTAGGCTGCCGCCCGGTGTCAACCAGGACGATGTCCTAAACAAACGTGACTGTGGATGTTTGTGGGAAGATAAAGTATCCAGCTGGTCACTTCTATACAGATGCTGTGTAAGTATGTGTAGGTGTTGGGAGCGCCAAGTACCGTGGAATCCAAGGCATGGTAGCAACACACGCTTGTAGAAAGAGGCGACTAACGAAGTCCTGGTTTCAGAGATGTACATATATGTTTATTGGATGTAATGGTGTTCAGTTCTGATAAAGTCCCACATGATTAACGCATAGAGAGTTGTTCATCATTTGTAAAGTCCCCGTGTTTGCTGTTACACCCAAATGGTAATACAACTTACAGAGTGCGCCGTTACACCCAAATGGTAATACAACTTACAGAGTGCGCCGTTACACCCAAATGGTAATACAACTTACAGAGTGCGCCGTTACACCCAAATGGTAATACAACTTACAGAGTGCGCCGTTACACCCAAATGGTAATACAACTTACAGAGTGCGCCGTTACACCCAAATGGTAATACAACTTACAGAGTGCGCCGTTACACCCAAATGGTAATACAACTTACAGAGTGCGCCGTTACACCCAAATGGTAATACAACTTACAGAGTGCGCCGTTACACCCAAATGGTAATACAACTTACAGAGTGCGCCGTTACACCCAAATGGTAATACAACTTACAGAGTGCGCCGACATCCATTGTTTGCATACAGCAATCTTCTCCAAAACCTTTAAGAACCGCCCGGCTGGTTGAGCTGAAGTTTCGGTACATGGCCCTGACCATAATGGAACAAAATAATTTTTCAAGAGGTCAACATAAAATGATTCCTTATTTGTTTCTTTTGAAATAGTTGTATATATACTCAGCAGCAAAAAAAAACCGTCAGGACGAATTCAAAATTAGATAGGCACTGTAATCAAATCATTACAGAAAATGGACATAATAAGCGGATCAAAAACATTTTTTGTGTACAATATCTTGACACATCAATGAATAACTCATTTCAAGGCGTTACGTGAACGTTTGCAGTCCATTCAGACTCTTGACTTCAGTATCTAGTGTGAACACCACGAGCGGCAATAACTGCAGCACAGCGTCTATGCATGGAGTGCACCAATCGATTGATGAAGGCCATTTGCACCTGGAACCACACTCTGAGAAAGGCCTGGCGCAATAAATCGGCTGTGTTCGGCCTTGGTATAACATTATTCAGTCTCCTCTGAATTTCATCCCAAAGATGTTCAATTGGGTTTAAATCAGGACTAAGGGCTGGCCACTGCATACTGTTTTGCTGTAGAAAGTCCCGTGTAGCTCTAGCAGTATGGGCCCGGGCGTGATGCCGCCTCCTCTCCCTAGGCCTGGAACAAGGATCTGGAACACAACAGGACCCACTCTCTGGTTCAGGCTTATTCCACCCCATACCATGATGCTTGCACCTCCCCACGAGTCTCTTTCCATAACACACTAGTCTTAGTAACGCTGGCCACGTCGTCGCCATATTCTTGTTCTGCCTTCTGCAGTTGATACGCAGTACCGTCTCTCATCTGTGAACAGAACAGTTCTCCATTGCCTGTATCGCCAGTTTTGGTGTTGTAGGGCAAACTGTAGACGTTCACGCCGATGACGAGGGGTGAGGATAGGTCCACGGTACTTCGGTGTACTTTATCAGTACTGATTGGGCTTCCGTGTGTTCCCACTGTCTGGCGTGCTGTTTCGGATGCCTGCATGAAGGGATTCTGTACATGCTGTCGCACAACATGGCGGCCTTGTCGTCTTGTGGTCACCCTTGGTCTGACAGTTCGGGGGCAATCATTTGTGGTGTGGGGGGCCCGGAAACATTGCTGCAGCCTGTAGATGGTCCGAACGTTGACCTGGAAGTGATTGGCAACGGCTTGTGCAGCGTGGCCAGCTTCAAGTCTTCCTAGCGCCTGGTTCCTCTGAGCTGTCGTGAGTCGCGGCATCCTGCTGACGTTGTAATGTAATGTTTCGACCAGGTTTGGGGGTGCATTTTATAGGGCTTGTCCTTGTGAACAGCACGTGCAGCATGAGTTGCATGAAAAACATGGAGAACACCGTACCATCTCCGAGATCAGGTTGCGTTTTGAGACCATTTCCTGGGTTCCATTCCGAGTTTGGGAAGGAGTGTCTTTGCTCAGGTAAAGTTGGAGATGTTGTTAAAAATATACATTTAAAACATTAACTAAGTTTTCAGTTATCCGTTTCTGCGAAGGAAAATTCGAAACTGACGTTTCTTTTGCTGCTTAGTATATATATATAGAGAGAGAGAGACTGTGAGTAGCTGTGAATATTAATGTATACTTACGAGCTAATGGAAGTATACATTTGAATATTTACCAAACAATTACATAATTATTGTTAACGTTACCAGGCAACGTACAGCCGTCCGACACACAACTGTATTATACCTGTATCAATACATCACCATCAAGTAACGGGTTCTTGTTGGTTTCATTGCCACCCTCCGTTAAACATGGCTGTGGACATTGTCGCACAGTTTGGTCATAAGTGGCGATGGTAGACGATGTTACAAACACGTTTTTTTTCTATTTATTCAAATTCACTTTTCACATTGTTTTCTTCATTACACTTAGCGGTATGTTCCAGCTTGACAGAAGTCAAATACAAAATAGTCCTCAAATACAATGTCATAAAACTGGATCCAAATTGACTTTGGATTATTTCTATCAATGTTCAATACTCCATGGGCATATTTCGACCGGATGAGTCGTCCATCAAATTTTCATCAAAGGGACTAATCTTTCAAAACGTTTTATGGTTTATAAGTGGAGGACATTTGCAAATTTGAAGCATCAGTGAGAATAATCATGTCCGATGCAAATCCCTATTTTGATGTATACCATATATTCCTATGTTTGTTTGAGTGTTTCTAAAGGGGGTGGGATGCAGAAGTCACTTGACTCACTCAAACGTGTTTGTGCTGGCTGCCATGGGCTGGGCTCATGGTGGCAATCACTGAATTGTCTGTCCAGACGCAGTTATTTACAAATCGTCGTCAAATAGCTGGAATATTGCTTAGTGCGGCAGGGGTGGTGGGGGAGCCTAATGGTTAAAGCGTCCGCTCGTCACACCGAAGACCCGGGTTCGATTCCCCACATGGGTACAATGTGTGAAGCCAATCTCAGGTGTCCCCCCGCCGTGATATTGCTGGAATATTGCTAAAAGCGGCGTAAAACCAAACTCACTCACTTACTCAGTGCGGCTTTAAAGAAACAAAACTGACATGAAATAAGGCAAACTCCGTGCGACTTTAGTACGACCCCCATCATTGCGGGATATTGCTATAAAATGTTGAGTAGATGGCGGTGAGGCTAAGTCAAGCGGTGTACGGAGCTGGATGTTATCTGGGCGCTCATTGGTTTAAAGACTCGTTGGCTTCCGTCTCGATGTAATCAGACTTTGCAGAGTTTCATTGAATGTCCGAATCGAAATCATTGAATTTTTAGGCAAGGTGTAAACCTCGCCCTGAGGTTGCGTTTCTTGCTTTCAGATGACGTTTTCACGATCATTGATTCTGATTCTCGTCACTAAAATAAAAATACTCGAAACCCCATCATCATAATTTCCGAATTACAAAGGATATTCAGTTAAAAGAAATCTTCTTACACTGATGAGAACATTGTTATTAATGATCGAAATGTTGATTCTACTGATCCAATAACACAAAACTACAAATTGAATTCATTGATTGCATAATACCACATGGTACACAATCCAGTACTTTGCACAAAGCATAAACACAACAATATCGGATCTACTTCGTCATATCCTTATTACCTGACCAGTAAATGGGCGACACAAACTTTGATCACAGGATCATATCTCAGACATACTTCGATCACAAATTTGACAGTATAGACACAACCACACACAAACTTTCACTTCCAATATCTCTCAAGCATACATTGATACTGTCTAGGATACTAGTCCGATTCATATATAATAATTAACCAGAACAATTCATCTCCATTTAAACACTTTCGGCATTAGGTGTTTATCTTTTGTCGACGTCTAACGTTGAGATAATATTCAAGATCACTCAGATAGTATAAAGAACAGGAAACTATCTCTAGTGCGTGGACTATATTCCAACTCGGTTCTTATCAAAGGCTTATCTATCTGTACCACTCCGTCACCTCTGAACATGGGATATGAAACAGGAACACGTAAGACGGCGTGTCTATACGGGCTACTTACCTTCATCCTGCTGCAGTCGGTAGCCTTTGTCTGCGTCAGTCTGTGGCAAGAATGGCGTCTGGACTACTTCCGGTCCACAATTTCAAGGAAAAGGGAGGCAATCGACCTGTTTGAGGCTGAATGTCAGATGACCCACGTGCAGGTAGGTCTTCAATCACCAGTAGTGAGATTAGTGTCTGACATCTAACCTAACGTGGTAAACAGCTGCCTCAGGTCCTGGTTGTTTTGGTATCATATCTGTGTAGGCTATTTCACAACAATAGCCCCGTTAGAACTACATAATTATAATATATCTATACGTACTCCAGTCTTAAGCCAAGTTTTTTATGTTCGAATTTTCATAAAATATCCGACTTTGAAATTTGATATTTAATTACATAATGCATTAACATTCTAAAATTAGAAACTGTGATATATTTTAACCAGGATAGTACGCCGGAAGCTACCCATGCGCATGTCCGGCGGCAAAGTCCGACAGTTATTGATTTCATGCGGGATTTCCTGTCGACTCAGGTAAATTAAAGTTTGTTTCTGACATGAATCCATGGAATTTGAAATGGTTTGAGAGACAATCCTGACCTCAATCGTCTATGTTATCAATGACATATCTATATAGATACATGTTTGATGGTAAATAAATATGAAGGTAATACTTAATTCTATAATCATATAAGCATTTGACTTTTGATTTTATAATCATATAAGATTTATTTATACACTTGACGTTAACCTCATATTTAATCTCATATATTTGATAATTGTGTTTAACCGTGTCATGTGATAGTACAGTATTTCTTTAGGTACTTTGTTTACCTATATACATTTATGGGGTTTTTCGACTTTTTCTAGGAAATAGCGCTTGAACAAATCTGCACCAAGAGACACGACTTGTGTATTCCGGGTGAGTAATGAGCTGCTCTTGTAACTATGGCTCATCTCAGCACTCAAGATAATACGGTCTGCAAGTAGAATTTCCATTTTCACCTGTGTGGGTGACAATCACACAGTCCTGCAGTCTTGTCCCTTTTATGTGTCTCGATATTAAACTGTTTGCCCAATGCGTATGAATCTTGAGATATGTATTGCGAAAGGAGAAACCGTATACAATAGTCTAATGCTGCTGCCCGGGGTATCAATATATAACGGAATAAGCCGAGTGTTACCGAGTGAATCTACTTCCGTTATGGCTGAGATCACCTACGACCTATGGTTAGCGCGGAAGTGTAATCATGTACGTTTCATGACAGGGTATTTCGCTATTGACTGGTTTGTCGTCTGAACCTGTACCCATGTATGATATCGTTATCTGCGTTGACGTTATTGTTATATCCTGACGCATATCTAAATTGATGTCATAAATATTACGTATAAATTATAACATAATATTTGTCATTTATCTATTATTTACTTACTTTCAGGACCTAAAGGTGTTTCCGGAGACAAAGGTGCCATGGGTAGGTAACCATTAGATGGGTGCCCCTGTAGGTAACCATTAGATGGGTGCCCCTGTAGGTAACACCTGTAAGACTCCGGACTAGAGCAGTTCTTCAGCAATCAATTCTTGTTGCAAGAGGGATCGTGTGGCCATGTTTGTTGACTTGGTTCCTGCATGTCGTCATGTCATAAGATGGCTGCTCACGATGTTAATCACTGGATTGTCTGGTCAAGACATGACGACTATTTTAAGACCATTTTGATAGAGCTGAAATATTACTGTGTCGGGCGTTAACAAACAAATATTTACATAATGTAGAATAACACAGGTGAATTGAACTGTCAAGCTGTCAAAACAGAAACAGTTGTTCATGATTATGATTACTGGTAAACACAAAACATATTTACTTTGAGAACAAGAACAAGTTAATTAAAACGTCAATTCAATAAAGAAACTTCATCTGAAAATATTCGTTGACAACACACAGTCGTGGTGTATGTATGTATTGCAATATTTGGTTTGAAAAATATATGGAATAGAAACGATGTGAAGTTTTGAAAAAGTTGATAGTTATTGACATACAAAACAAACATGTTCTATAGCCTTGTATATCCTATCCACAGGGCCACGTGGGGACCGTGGGGAAATCGGCACCACCGGACTGAAGGGAGACCAAGGTCATGTTGGGGACCAGGGGAGCAGAGGCGACACCGGGGCTAAAGGGGTTAAAGGTCTCCCAGGGAGTGAGGGAACACCGGGTGTTAATGGAACGGATGGTGCCGCAGGTCAGAAAGGCGATGCAGGGCCTAAAGGTGACCCGGGTCTCCCTGGTAACAACGGCACTGATGGTTTAGTGGGAGCAAAGGGTGTCCCTGGCGTCAAGGGACAGGCTGGAACGAAGGGGGCGCCAGGAATCCTCGGCGTGAAGGGGAACCCTGGGTCCAACGGCGTGGCAGGGCAGAAAGGGGACCCTGGGCAACAGGGCCCGGAGGGGAGCTTGCTACATGATGACTGCTTCTGTCTCAGTAAGTGGGTGCCCGTTATGTGGTGTTAATATCACACGGCGGCAGAAGATTGTTAACGTTTGATGGGTATCATATAATGATTTATAGCCTTGCTTTACCAGTTGCAGTGTAAGCAATCATTTTATCTAGCCCGTTAATCATTAATGACCTGGATAAAGGATGATGTATATTGACCTGATCAAGAAGCTTGATGAGTATTGACCTGATGAAGGATGTTTGATGAGTATTGGCCTGATGAAGGATGTTTGATGAGTATTGACCTGATGAAGGGTGTTTGACGAGTATTGACCTGATGAAGGATGCTTGACGAGTATTGACCTGCTGAAGGATGTTTGATGAGTATTGCCCTGATGAAGGATGTTTGATGAGTATTGACCTGATGAAGGCTGCTTGACGAGTATTGACCTGATGAAGGAAGCTTGACGTGTATTGACCTGATGAAGGATGCTTGACGAGTATTGCCCTGATGAAGGGTGCTTGACGTGTATTGACCTGATGAAGGATGTTTGATGAGTATTGCCCTGATGAAGGATGTTTGATGAGTATTGCCCTGATGAAGGGTGTTTGATGAGTATTGACCTGATGAAGGATGCTTGACGAGTATTGACCTGATGAAGGATGTTTGATGACTATGACCTGATGAAGGGTGTTTGATGAGTATTGACCTGATGAAGGGTGTTTGATGAGAATTGACCTGATGAAGGATGTTTGATGAGTATTGACCTGATGAAGGATGTTTGATGAGTATTGACCTGATGAAGGAAGTTTGATGAGTATTGCCCTGATGAAGGGTGTTTGATGAGTATTGACCTGATGAATGGTGTTTGATGAGTATTGACCTGATGAAGGATGCTTGACGTGATTGTGATGAAGGATTGACGAGTATTGATGAAGAGTGCTTGAGTGTATTGCTTGACGAGTATTGACCTGATGAAGTGTATTGACCTGATGAAGGATGTTTGATGAGTATTGACCTGATGAAGGGTGTTTGATGAGTATTGCCCTGATGAAGGGTGTTTGATGAGTATTGACCTGATGAAGGATGCTTGACGAGTATTGACCTGATGAAGGATGTTTGATGACTATTGCCCTGATGAATGGTGTTTGATGAGTATTGCCCTGATGAAGGGTGTTTGATGAGAATTGCCCTGATGAAGGATGTTTGATGAGTTTTTACCTGATGAAGGATGTTTGATGAGTATTGACCTGATGAAGGAAGTTTGATGAGTATTGCCCTGATGAAGGGTGTTTGATGAGTATTGACCTGATGAAGGATGCTTGACGAGTATTGACCTGATGAAGGATGTTTGATGACTATTGCCCTGATGAATGGCGTTTGATGAGTATTGCCCTGATGAAGGGTGTTTGATGAGAATTGCCCTGATGAAGGATGTTTGATGAGTTTTTACCTGATGAAGGATGTTTGATGAGTATTGACCTGATGAAGGAAGTTTGATGAGTATTGCCCTGATGAAGGGTGTTTGATGAGTATTGATCCGATGAATGGTGTTTGATGAGTATTGACCTGATGAAGGGTGTTTGATGAGTATTGACCTGATGAAGGATGTTTGATGAGTATTGCCCTGATGAAGGGTGTTTGATGAGTATTGCCCTGATGAATGGTGTTTGATGAGTATTGCCCTGATGAATGGTGTTTGATGAGTATTGCCCTGATGATGGATGTTTGATGAGTATTGACCTGATGAAGGGTGTTTGATGAGTATTGCCCTGATGATGGATGTTTGATGAGTATTGACCTGATGAATGGTGTTTGATGAGTATTGACCTAATGATGGATGTTTGATGAGTATTGCCCTGATGATGGATGTTTGATGAGTATTGACCTAATGAAGGATGTTTGATGAGTATTGACCTGATGAATGGTGTTTGACGAGTATTGACCTGATGAATGGTGTTTGATGAGTATTGACCTGATGATGGATGTTTGATGAGTATTGATCTGAGCCCTTATTCTCGAAACGTTCGTATCCCTAAACATTCTTAATTTTGATCGTAGGCAATGTGTTAAGAATGGGCTTAAGAAGTTCGTAGGGCTAAGAACGTTTCGAGAATAGCTAGCCTGAGGAATGATGCTTCTCGAGTGTTACGTAATGATGGTTCATTGCACTTAAGAATGCCTATCAAAGACGCTACTCCAAGCAAATGTCTCTTCAAAGGTCTATGTTGACATTCAATGGATCAATATTTTCGTGATGATACGTGAACACAAGAAAACAACAATGCAAGGAGAATATTTGAGATATATTTTGATATACGTAGAAAGTTTCAGTGGTTGGGTAAGACCGTCCTCGTGTGTACTTATGTTGACAATATGGGTAGCCTTATGATAAAAGCGTTCCATCGTCACACCAAAATCCGTAGTTCGAATCTCTTCTTGGTCACAATACCGTAAATCCCATTATTGCTCCTTACGTACAGACTGTAGTTTTTATACACCACTGTTGTCGCTATATAGAGTACTTGTAGACCGAGAATCATTTTATACAAGCGGAACTGCACTTTAGGTGCAAACAGTATATGATACAATATATTTGTTTTTGTAAGTTTAGTAACAAGAGCAGTTTTGATATATCTGCTTGTTATCACAGTTGGATTATTGGTGTGGAAAACGTTTGCGGCATTGATGTCTGTTTATAGACAGTAGCGCAGTAAACCTTGACGTATTTGGTATTGTATTATTATTATAATGCCCAGAACCCATCTCGTGTTACCACACGTACATCCACAGAAGCACACTTAGATTTTATGTGGCGACCCCATCGGAAGTTGAAGGATACCTTTAAGATGACATCTTCATGTGAGGGACATTTTTTCTTTTAAGTCCATCTCCAGAAACTGAAGCAGACTGAACGAAAAGTCATGTTTGATTTTTTTCAGATGAATTCGAAATAACTGGCAATTTCAGTGACACCGTTAATGTGGCCTATGGAGCTCCGCTGTCACTCGGTTGCGACTTCAACACGCTTGATGTTCCGATCACGTGGGTGAAAGACAAAGGACCAATCAGCAAACGTGGCATCGTAACCAGAAACAACCTCAATTTCCAGCAGGTGTTGAAGGAAGATGGCGGGACGTATCGCTGCGTTGGACCCAAGGGCATCTTGGGATACAACTCAAAGTCAACGGATATAGTAGTTGGCAGTAAGTAAAGTTAGATAACGGGAAGTCGCAATCAGTCATTGTCGGAGAACGATGACAGTTGTCGTCCGGTTTGAACCGGTCTTCACCAACCTATGCTTGTTGTAAAGGCGTCTGACGGGATCGAGTGGTGAAGTTCGCGTCTGAGTACCTTAACATGATGGAGTTAATCACTGGATTGTCTAGTCCATACTCGATTATTTAGAAATCACTGTAGGAATATTTCTGTGGGAAGCGTTAAACAAATAAATACAACTGGTTGTGTTGGTCATCATAAACTGGTCTTACTCTCCGAAAAAAGAAACGCATAGGTGTATTGCTAACTTTAAAGTGAGATAACACATGTAATTTGTGATCGGTTGCAGCCACATTTCACAGTATAAAAGATCAAATCTCAGTGAACATGAACAGTTTATTAAAGATCAATAAGTGAAGGCGTCCTTCCCAGTTGGGTGTTGTCTTCAGTATCTGTTGTGGCAACCATGAACCCTCAAAACTGCTCTGCGACGTGTCGGCGTGGACTGAATAAATCTTTAAATTCGATGTTGTGGAATTCTGGCCCATTCCTGCGACAGTTGATCCAACGTCGGTTGACGTTCAAATACGTATCGGGCGATTTGGGAGGCCATGGAAACACTGTAATGGTCTCATTCTGAAGATACTGAATAGTGGCATGTGCTGTGTGAAGCCTGGCATTATCGTGCCCGAACAATCCCCTCTGGCGGTCAATGATCAGAACCATTCGAATCCTTAAGATTTCTTCTCTGTACCGAATAGCAGTTAAATTGCCCTGAAGGCGCACAAAGTTAGATTTCTGCGTGTAGGATATAGCTTCCAACATCATAACACTCTAACCACCATATCGATCAACCTGGGCGATATAATTGTGGGCAAAGCGTTCATTTCGACGTCGACAGACACGGACTCTTCCGTCACGGCACTGAAGCAGAAAGCGTGATTCGTCACTGAACCATACACATATAGCCAGTTTTGTAGATTCCAGAATCGAACGTTATTGTACCACTGGCCCCGTGGACGTCGATGTAGTCGTCACTGCACAGGTCCACAATAGGGTCTTCTGGCTCAATGTCCAGCTTCTCGTAAACGATTACGAATGGTTTGCGCCAAAACACTCCTCAAACCAGGCACAGCACTTGCAGTTGCAGTGACGGTTCGATTCCGCAAATGATGTACATATCCTGCGCTTATAGTGGTCTACCACTTCGGGGCCGATCTTGCTTAGAATTGGTTTGCTGATATCCGTCCCATAAACGACTGATGGTACTCTGGTGAACATTAAGGATGAGAATGCCCAGCATTCAGGCGTCCAATGACCATGGCAGTAGCGAGTCGCGGCATATCGGTAACAATTTCAAATGGAAATGGCGTGCATTAAAGTTTCCGAATATGCGTTTTTGCGCTGTGCATGTACACAAACCACCATTATAATGGCGAAATTGTAACAATCAAAAAATAATTCTGCAAAATATATATGAAATGTCACATACCAATATCACCTATGCGTTTCTTTTTTTTGGGGGAGTATAGTTAAAGGATAGCAAAGAAGCCATTAACCTATCCTTGGGTGGGGAGTTGACGTTCAAGATGGCTGTCATATCGTCATGACGTGGACTATCAATCATAGGTTTAGTCACAGGTTTGTCTGGTTCAGACACGATGACGTAGAGGTCGCCGTGATAATACACTGTATTACAGATACTGGCGTTACACAACACTCGCTCTTGGTGGCCCCCAGCTTGATACTCATGTTGTTTAAGTTCATCGACGTTTTTCATGCAACCAAGAATAGTTGCAAAACCGTTCAGATACTATTCTTCTTGTCAGCGAGGTTTTCTCAGTAGGGCGGTTGTGGTCTCCAGGAAAGTTCTATAAATCTTTGTTAATGTTGAGGATTGTAAAGTTCTGGAAACTTTATTGTGTTGTTTCCTGTATACGTCAGAGATCTACGAGTATGACTGTGACTTCGAGAGTTCCTGTTCCTGGAAGGACGAGACCACTGATGCGATGGACTGGACCCTGAACAAAGGCAGCACCCCGTCTTTGGGAACAGGTCCTGCTAACGACCACACCTTAGAAAACGGTATAATGATGATGATCCTACCTCGCTACACCACACATGTACGCTCTCACCACACCTGCACGCTCTCACCACACTTGTACTCTCTCACCATACATGTACACTCTCACCACACATGTACGCTCTCACCACATCTGTATGCTCTCACCACACCTGCACGCTCTCACACACTTGTACTCTCTCACCATACCTGTACACTCTCACCACATCTGTACGCTCCCACCACACCTGTACGCTCTCACCACACCTGTACACTCTCACCACACCTGTACACTCTCACCACATTTGTACGCTCCCACCACACCTGTACACTCTTACCACACCTGTACACTCCCACCACACCTGACGCTCCCACCACACCTGTACACTTCCACCACACCTGACGCTCCCACCACACCTGTACGCTCTCACCACACCTTTACACTTCCACCACACCTGACGCTCCCACGACACCTGTACACTCTTACCACGCCTGTACGCTCTCACCACGCCTGTACGCTCTCACCACACCTGTACGCTCTCACCACACCTGTACGCTCTCATCACGCCTATACACTCCTACCACACCATCATCCACTCACCGCTCCTACTCAACCTACTCTCCGCGTCTCACCACACTCTTCATTCACTAAATGCCTTTCATGAACAAACCCATACCTGTTCCTTCTTAAATGTTAACATAAACATTTTACATTATCTGTTTCAGCGAACGGCCATTACATATACCTGGAGACATCGTCGGGCACTCTTAACAGTTCCGCGGCCTTCCGTTCCTCTCCTCTCGGCACCAGCCACCACTTCTGTCTGACGTTCTGGTACCACATGTACGGCCAAAGTGTGGGCTATCTTCAGGTCAAAATCATGGTAAGACAGCGACGTGAACTCAACACCGCATTGTTTCAGTCACAGCAGTGCAGAGGAGTTCGTCGGAACGCGCATACACACATTTGTCAAACAGAGTACCAAAGGCAGGGCACGCAATGACCGGATTTGGAATACACATACATAGGCACTCATCTTTTTAGACACAGTGCTTTTAACAAATATAACCACACAATCGATCAATCTTTATTCAATGCACAAATCAGGCATAATCCCTACATCGCAATACCCGTGAAGATCCGGGTCAGAATTGATCTTGGGTAACCCATGCTTGTCATAAGAGGCGACTCACGGGATCGGGTGGTCAGGCTCGCTGACCTGGTTGACACATGTCCCAATTGCGTAGATCGATGCTCATGGTGTTGATCATTGGATTGTCTGATCCAGACTCGATTATTTACAGACCGCGGCCTTATAGCTGGAATATTGCTGAGTGCGTCGTTAAACGCCTAATCACAAGGGGGCACAGATTAGCAGAGTCCTACTGGCAAACAAGGATAAGTTGGACCGGCGCAGAGAACGCGTTTACGAGAAGTAGGCGGTGCACGGCAATGAGCAAACCCATTTGGTTTCTGAAAGGTAGAACAGATGTAGGCTAGTGCACGTGCATTACATGACGATGAAATTTATGTTATAGCTGCAGACGCCTTGCTCTAAGACACAGGCCCCCACTGCGGGTCAGAAAATCGATAAACTAAGCCCTGGTTTACTATCCAGCCCCCCTACTATACGGATTGTAAACCAGGGCTTAGTTTATCGATGCCTGTGCTCTAAGACTCTCTCGTCGGTGCAGCAAGTCGCACTACACTTGATCGCGGACAACCTGGGGCCCTTCGCTAACAATGGCAAGCGCCAGTGGGTGGCACTCATACATGCTAATACGGGTCAATTGTCAGGTCCGTGCTCAACTTACCCTTGTTTGCCAGTATATATAACCTCACCTTGTTCAGCACCACACTGTTGCTGTTGGATTGGCAAAGCTCTGACTCGACTCCGACTCTTCTGTTTAGACTGCACAGAGCACGAGTAGCCCTATATGGATGAGACATGGAAGCCAAGATAACGAGTGGAGGTTGGCTAAAGTTGACCTCCTTCCCCAATCCGTCAACTACTACATCGTTATCAACGGCGTCAGGGGAGATAACTACTTCGGTGACATTGGCATTGACGACATCATCGTCTTGGACGGAGCTTGTCCGTAATGCTTGTGTTTTGGTGTTGGCGATTAAATTAGAATCCGAACGAAAACAAAACTTTTGATATATTGTAAAGGATATTATAAAATTCACCTTCCGTTATTAAAATTGGAGAAAAGGTTTGTAAAATAGCAATAAAAACAAAAAAACCGTACTCGTACTTCCGCCTTTTACGGAAACAGCCGACAGTTAATGACCAGAGGGGGTATCACGTGACATGACGTCACATGTGCCTGTTGGTGATGGCTGCCGCTTTGATTTTATCGCACAACTTAACAGTGTCCATGGATTCTGAAGCAATAAAAGGTGTTCCTGATGTCATTTCTGAAATGGATGTTAGACCGTATCAATACGATCCGATTTTACATCTTGCAAGACAATCTTCCAGTGAAGATGAAGAAGAAGAATCAAGAGAAACGGAGGCACCGCTTGAGTTCAAAATAAATTTTAAAATATACCATATCATTTAACAAGAATACTATTTGACAGCAAAATGTGATACAGTTCCAACCAGCAAACCCACCCCTAAAAATATATGACCAGTCCCTAAGAACTATATATTTTTGCAATGTGATTGCAGTTCCTTTTGTGTCAAATGGGTGACTGTAGGGTGTCTGGGAATTAAAAACACAATAATTATGCTTCAGACGGGGGAAAATAGAAATTATCTGCTACAAAAATTACACTGGAGTTATTTTTTTGACATTTTTTTTAGGATCCTAGTTCTCATTAATAACATAGCAAGTCTCCACACAAAACCAGGCCTGGTCGAGCAGAGATAATATTTGCGACGCAGATAAGTTATTCCCCGAAAACTGGTGAATTATTAAATACTAGTCAGGACAATGTATGTTTCCCCAGTGTTTGGTTATGGAAATAGTTATGGCACTCGGCCATAGCCTTAGAGTGGCATCTTGTCAGCCAATGTGAACACAGAACAACTTTCACGGCGCACACTACTGACAAGTAGCGAGTCTGATGCCGACGTGCGTAATTGGACAAAATGGAAAACAATGAAAGCAACAAGTACTTCAAGATTTGCCGTTGTATTCAGCAATGTTTCGGGTAGTCTGCAGCATTTAGGGCTCTAAACCGAAAAGAACGTCATAGCGAAACATTTTCAAGCTCATGTGAAATCTCTTACTGATTTTGATATCTATCTCATGGGTACCAGTGGAACTGCCCCAGCTACAAAATGCCCCAGCAAATTTGGTCATTCATTCTAATTTGGTCAAATTTATTTAAAATGATTAAATATATGCCGTAAATGCATAGTTTTTGTCAACTTTGATATTATGTTCTTCATACATGTATAAAAGTTATTAAGAAGTAATATTTCTGATAAATGTTCCATCAGTAAACTCATAACTATGTATATACTTTTATATGAAGAACATAATTTCAAAGTTGACAAAACTATGCATTTATTGCCTATATTTAATCATTTTAAATAAATTGGGGCATTTGAACTACCCCCCTGGGGCAATTTGACCAAAACTCCGGGGCAATTTGACCAAATTTGCTGGGGCAATTTGCAGCGGGGGCAATTCGACTGGCAATCGTACTTGATTTAATTTATGTTAAAAATACCACTGACAGTAAGCTGTAACAGGGAATGATGGAGTATAAATGAATCTCGTGGGTAATTCTTCCTTCTTCAGCCTAGCTTTGGGATTTGTATGCCCCATGTGTGCTTGTCTCTTTCATATGCGTCCGACTCGGAATGATCGGACCATTTCTCCTGCCTAATTCTGTCTCTTTACTTAGAAAACGGAAGAAATGGTGGCTTTCCATTGTTCGATGATTCCGTGCATCCCCAGGCAACAGAATACACCATCGTACCATTTACAAAAACGACAGAAACAACACGATTTGTACTACTGTAGCGCTTGGTCTTTGGCAATATGGCGGACTCCAGGCACATTTGACGTCACGAGCGGAAAGGTCACGTGGGTTCCAGCGAAATATGCATAATGGCCGAAGCTGAGATTTACAGAAACTGTTTTCGCGATTAAAACATAATTATACAAAAGTTTTAATTGAAAATTTGGGAATATGTTTCTGATGACTTTATCTTTCACCCAGCAAATTATTGCAATTCACTCGTATTCTCCTTTAATCAGGATACACAGTGTCATTTAGAAAGTGGTAGGGTGTAACATTTGTTTTATATATATTTAGGATTACACGTGCTCAGTGAAGTACAGATTCTAGCACTTGTATTAGGTTGAGTCCCATCCGGGATTCGAAAGAGTGAGGGACAATACAATATCAGGGATCTAACCCACTTTCGGCCGTGGGAGCCGTGCCAATTTACACATGTCAGAGGGGTACACAAAGTACGCGATCTAAACTACCAGTTGTCATACTTCCTTTTTGTGGCTGAGTGGGTTAGATCGCTGAAGAGCGAGAATCCGAAAACGTGAAACTTCTGGAACTCAGGCGAGCAAATCTGCTCCTTTGGATTTGACTGTATTTTGGATACCCCCGACATTCCGAAGTGGTGAAAGTAACCCCCGCCGGTAGGCGTGGTTTAGCTTTTTACTTTCACTGGAAACGGAATGTCATAACACATGACCAGTATCGGTAATGATTTAGCAGGAATTGAGCACAGCGGAAAGTAACATAAATATAAGTTAATGACTGTCAAGCGTTTCGAATATATAATGTGTAAATTAGAAGATGGCGTTTTGTAAGAGAGGGCACCAAATGCAACATAAACGGACTGAGGATATTAATGCCATGACTTCTAAAGACGTGAACAAGAATTACTGTAAGTACCACGGTAACATTCACTTAACATGTGAGTAAACTTCGGTTGTCCCCTACCTGAGCTGGCGACCCAGGTATGGCATATATGTTATCTGGGTTTGAGGGGTGGTGGGAAGTAGGTCGGTTTAACACAGGACATGCCAGTCAACCTCCGTGGGGTCTCGGACTAACACGCTCAACATGTTCCTGGAACTCGCTTCCTTGTTTTGGTACTAGGAGCGTGTTTTGGCCACCTGGAAAGTCCAAAACGTGATGCAGCCACATTCGAAGATCTTGAACGCTACGTCAACGACATCATGAGCTGTCGCGACGTCAAAGGTTTGTCTCTCGCTCTAGTTAATAGGGATGGGAGCGTCTATACGAAGGGGTTTGGACTGAGGGACATCACAACGAACGAGCCGATGACGGAGACAACGTTGCTCAATATCGGGTCGGAGTCGAAGGCGTTCACAGCAACCCTTGCCGCTGATGCCGTTGCTAGGAAGCTAGTCACCTGGGACGAACCTCTCAAGAATATTTTCCCAAGCGGTTTCCGGCTCCAAGACAAGTTCCGGTCGGAGCGGGCGTCTCTCCGGGATCTCCTGTCTCACCGTCTTGGTATGCCGTCCTACTGGGGACTCACCACCGCCGTCATGAACCTCACCATCACGGAGATTGCCGAGTGAGTTGCATTTTGTCACTGAAGTTTTGTTACTTAAATATGTGAGAGAGTGATTTTAGTTTTACGCCGCTTTTAGCAATAGGCTATTCCAGCAATATCACGGCGGGGAACACCAGAAACGGGCTCCACACATTGTGCCCATATGATGAATCGAAGCCTAGTGGGGTAGCCTAGTGGTTAAAGCGTTTGCTCGTCACGCCGAAGGCTCGGGTTCGATTCCCCACACGGGTACAATGTGTGAAGCCCATTTCTAGTGTCACCCGCCGTGATATTGCTGGAATATTGATAAAAGCGGCGTAAAACCATACTCACATACATATGATGATTATAAAAAAATGGGATCAAGGCATTATGCTACACTGGGAGAATTATGTGTGACATAAATTGTAAAAGAAATATAAATGCATACTGGTTGATATATGAACTGCTTTAACATAAAAAAAACCCACACAAAACAACTTTAGACACTATACGAAATCGGTGACATCTGTTTAGCTCAATAAGTCAACACAAGCCCCGCCCACTCGACCATTAGCAAACTCAGGATAAGGAAGTACGCATGTGGGAGTGGCCTAATTCTTATTTTGTAGGTCAATAGTAACATAAACGCACATAATTGGGTGGTTAGTTAATCCAGTGCCAAGGAATCACTTACAATTTATGTATAATGATTTATGTATGATTTAACACTTAGCAATTCCTTGTTCGCATGATGGACAGACGTCTGAAGGACTTTCCTGTTCTGTACGAGTTCCGCCAGCGTTTCCTGTACAGCAATTACCTGTTTGTGGCGGCGGGGGCGGCGGTGGAGACGGCTACTGGCGAGACGTGGGAGGATGGCGTCTACAATCACATCTACAAACCTCTAAGTCAGTGGACTCGATATAAACGACAAAGATATTATACACCCACGATGTTAGCTTAAACTGAAACATGATAATGGATATTCCGCGGTGTGTTTGGTTCGCCTGTCATAGGTGTACCTGTACTGGTTGTGTTTCGGCGATTGTTTTTTGCCATAGTTTTTAATCGCGTTATGAAGTGTAACCTTTTGGTTAATTTAATTTTGATATGTGCACTTTCTTTTGCCCGTAAGTTTACTTTATATGTAGTATACGTTGCTATATAATGCATAGCTACAGACTGTTTTAGTTCAAACACTAACACCCGTGAAGACCGTCAGAATTGGTCTTCAGCAGCTCGTGCTTGTCGTAAGATGCGACTAACGGGATCGGGAGGTCAGGCTCGCTGACATGGTTGACACACGTCATCGTATCCCCATTGCGTAGATGCTGCTGACAAATGGATTGTCTGGTCCAGACTCGATTATTTACAGACCGCCGCCATAAAGCAGTAATATTGCTGAGTGTGGCGTCAAACAACAAAACCACCAATCAAACAGTAACTCTTATCCATGCATTTCCACGACTATGTTTGAAATAGACATCCCACAATGGTTTAGTTTATGGCATAGCTAAGTAACTACACATTCAGTAGTGTTTCGTGACCAAATCCTAGTTGAAGACACGATAATAGAAGTAGGTGTTCAATGTCTGTCCAGATATGACCGGAAGTCGCGTTAGTACGACGTTGACGGAAGCTGATTGGTCCAACACCGCGTATTCCTACACCATCATCAACTCGACGGCTGTACAGAACCCAGAGAAAGCCTTAATGCCGTAAGTTCACCTACTATAGCAGCCAGGTTGGATATATACAGCTTGTTCAGCTTGACCTGATCAAGTGAATAGCTGGGGGCGGTGGTGTAGCCTAATGAAAGAGAAACTGCAGCATGTTTAAAGCGTCGGCTCGTTACGCTGACGACCCGGGTTCGAATCCCCACATGGGCACAATGTGTGAAGCCCATTTCTGGTGTCCCCGCCCCATC